TTTAGAATGATGGTTTTGTTATATATTATGTTGAGATTTAAACGAGCGGAAAAACTATAAAGAATTTCAACGCCTCTGTTCTGAAGTAGTTTAATTCTATGCAAAATTGATCGCGATGCCGATCCTCCACATGCTGCAATTGCGTATTAAATATAGGATTGGAAGAGTGAAAAATTTACCGCTTTGAGAGTAGATATATCAACATAATGTCGAAGTTTACTCAACATCCCTACAGAACGGGAAATTTGTTACGAATATCATTGACATGGTCATCCCAACCAATATAGCTCTACTTCTCGCCTAATTACAATAATTATTGCATAAAATATATTATATATACTATCTACAACCCTCATAAGGAACTTCACCACTCAAATGTGAAACATAAACCATGCATGTGTAATAAATTAATAAAGAAACATGCACATGCAAAAGTCAGAATTTGAACAGCTATTTGAAAAAACTTTATTCCAGTATGTCAATTACTGTTGTATAAGGCAAACATAACCAGCCAAACATGTCGTGCTCACATGTGACAGTACTAGATATATAAGTTAGTGAAATGTGAAGGAGATAAACTCATACGATAGTGTCATACAATAATTAGTAGTCACAATAGCAATATTATATTTGTTCAACTTTCACTACCATGAAAATAACTGTGTGCAGGTGAAGAGTGTCTCAACTTTCTATCAGCAAAAAATTTATTTCTCTTGTGTTTGATATTCATTCTGCTATCGGAATATTGTAGCCTGTTACATACTAGAAAGTGTATATACAGGGTGTTAAAAAAATTACGCAAAATTAAGGTAAAATTTCTCTTCGTGGCAACGTTGAAAAATTAACTGTTAAACAGCGTCAGTCGTGAAATGGTCAAATGGCATTTTCACCGTAATTCAATGCTGTTAAAAAGTTGTCAGTCGTTAAATGTTTTAAGTAGCATTTCATCTTAACTTCTGTTAGTTTTACGTTACTTTTTAACACCCTGTATATCAGAATGGGATCCGTTTTTCACTTCGAAGTTTTGTGCGGTGACTTCATCAAAAATAAAATTTGCGTGCCGTGGTTCTGTGAAATATTTTCATTAATCTGGTCGACAGACTATCGGTACTTTAAAAAGGAAACTGAAATTCAGGAAACTCGCACGGGAAGCGTTGTATTTTTGTTGATAATCCATTCGAACCAATCAATCCAGCTTTCGGATGTGAACCAACAGCAGGATATGAGGACGAAAGAAATGTCAAAATAGTGTTAATTGAAAGAATTCGGGCTGTTCGTCTTGGAAAGATAATCACGTCCGTATAAGAACCAAACACGCCGATAGAATTTCGATAGTCATTTTTTTATATCGGATCAGCAAAACTAGCGCGATGGGTTTTGAATTATACCATGTATATACATCATGAATTTGGTCTTTTCACTAGCTGGAGAACTTGTGCTCTGGAGAAGTAAGGCAAGTGAAATGTTTGGCCAAATTTAAAAGGATATTATATTGAATCCTAGTAGTATTCTATATTCTGAAGAATCTGCAAAGAAACACAAAAAAATGTACAATCAAATAAAGAAATCAATTGTTAAAAGCTTGATAAAAGCATTATCACAGTCATATCAAATGTAATCATCCAAATATCTAGGTCTAGGCCTTCGCCTAGTACGTTGGCCATTTTCAGAGGTCGCATTTACTGTTACCTCTCAAGCCTCAAAGATATCATAAGCAACCTGCTCATCATTTCCATATTAGTTTCCACATCAGGTAAATTGTCAAATCAAAATTGTCAGATCAAAATTTCGCTTTTGTCTGGTTGCAGCAGCATTTAGATGTTGCCTAGCATGAAGGGAAGCTTTCTCAGTTGCACAGGAAAACCATTCGACAAACTCAGTGTAACAAGGATGAGTAGGTGGTCTTGATTTGCCAAACATAACATCAACGGTCATCTCAATTTCTTGTCCAAGCATTAACTTGTTCGGTGAATATCCTATACTATCATGTACAGTGGAGCAATATGCCATGCAAAGATATGGAAGATGGTCATCCCAATCATTTTGATTCTCCTTTACAAAAGCTTTCAACATTTGCTGTATTGTCATGTTAAAACGTTCAACGTGTCCATCCGAACGGGGATGATATCTACTTGTTCGAGCCTTTTGAATGTCGTACAAATGGCACACCACTCAGAAAATAATTCGAATTCAAAGTCTCTTCTCTGATATGAATGAAGAATTCTTGGTATCCTAAATCCTGAAAAGAAGTTCTAGTTACAATCAGGAATCCAATGGCGATAAAGAAGTCCATTATCTACAAAACTTAAATCCCATTTCGGAATTAAACGTTTGGTCACTGTTTATTCAGGCATTCTTGAACGTCAGGTTTGTGAGCTGAAATTTGTCATAAAGGTCCTCCGAGAAGAAAATGGCTTGATTGACGAACAGTCCACACCACGGCTAATAGTTCGCGGTGTGTAGAACAGTATCTACGCTGAGACTTGGACAAAATTTTACTGACATACGCAAGTACACACACACGCATGCACGTCATGCATGCACTTGGGATAACACCGCACCAATTCCAAAACCCCTGTCATCAGTAACTAATACAAACTCGCCGATTGTTCTATCTAGTCTAGGAAAACTAAGGATTGGGGTTAATGTCAGACAATGTTTCAAAAGCCTTTTGTCATCCATTACCTTAAACAAAGGGAATATTCTTCCTGGGTAATCGAATAAGAGGTCCAGCAATCATTGGTTAATCTTCGATAAACTTTCGGTAGTAGTTTGCTGTACCAAGAAAACTCCGAATATCACTAACACAATTGTGCGTTTTTCATTCTTTGATCGCCGCAATATTCCAGGGACACAACTGACACCTTTAGAAAAATATGGCGTATGGCAACCCTAGATTAGCTATATTGCCGGTTTTACTCTGTTGCACTGCTGCAATGCGCGGTTTAGACATATCTTTTCTTTCAGATTGATTAGTATCAAAAGAGTAATACAGTGTCGCAAGAGAGAAAGCTCCTCCAAAAGTATCACTGTTGCATGGTAACATGTTTAATCATGCTTTCATCGGTTAAGTCAGGGGTTCTCAACCTTTTTTCTGTTAAGTACCCCCCGAGTCACAAAACAATCAACGCGAACCCCCAGTAATTAGACACCAAGAGTCGTGCATTTCATATTGTTGCGTCACAACCACAACAACGCAAGATCGGGAAACATCTACGCTGAGCATTTTCATCTGATAGAAGTTTTTTGTTTGTTAAAGGATGTTAAAAAAGCAACACACGAAAACTCGACTGCCATCCAAGTACCCCTGGAAATCTGCTCGTAAACCCCTGGGGGTTCGCGAACCCCAGGTTGAGAACCCCGGGGTTAAACCGACGAGGAACTGCGATTTCACAAAATCATCTTCATCTTCAATATTTGGGTAAGCAAGAGTAACAGATGCTCTCGAAGTATTCGTACCAAGATGGCGCACAACCTGAACATAGTACGTTTAACTTTACCAGGTTAGGGTTGTTTAGGTTGTGCGTCACCTTGGTAAAAATATTTCCAGAGCGCCGAAATTCCGTGGCGCTTCATTTGGCTTAATCCTACGACAGTGAATGGAGTACGATATGAGCTCTCATTTCCGGCAGGTTTAAAGAAATGATCAAAATGAGCCCCAATATCCAAGCATAGTACGCTTCATATCTGGTAAATCTTTCAACACATTGAGAGTCTGCCCTGTCATGGAAGTAGCCAATCCTGCAGTGCCATCATTCCACTGATTATACCTGATAACCAATTCAAAATGGCACAAATACTGTGGTCATGTCATGACAGTTGTTGACCCATCAAAATACATTGACTTTCTTGACATCATCGTAGCATTGGCTGTGTTATTGAGAACACTGCTGCTAACTTTGTCCTTTGGGGCACTGTTAGCACTCACTGGGGACAGATTGTGTAGCCACTGAAATCATTCTCGAATTTTACCATTATAACTAAGAAAGGGAACTCACATCACCTTTCTCCGAAAATTTTACTTCTATTGTCCGCGAGAGTGCGTTAGGCTTTCCTTCTGACTGTCCATCTTCAGATCCAAAATCGGATATTTCAAATCATCAGAACAGGCAGTGCTTCAAGGACAATCATTGCTAGTGTTGAAGTAATCAGGCTGACACATGGGCTTGGTTTCATCAGAATCATAAACTTCACCAGATTTCATCATGCCAGAAATATCTCGCAGTGTGTCGTTAATATGATAAACTGACGAGTCTAATTTCGTATTCTCTTTCGTATTCCGGAATATCAGGCAACCGCAATTTGAAAAAATTTCGACAATCTTAATATCCGATATTGTCCAAATAATATCCGTCACAGACCAGCCTACCTATTCATTCGACTTAGTCTTGATAATCCCTGTGTCGAATAATATATCCTGGCGTGTCGCCAATTTTCCGTATATGTGGCGTACCATTATTGGTAGCGGTTGCGGTTTCAACTGCAGCAGAATAACTAACTTAATTTACATATATTAATTATACACATGTAAGAACTTAATACAACCAAATATTCAAATGAAAAACACAATAAACAATAAAAATACAGTACTAAATACAATAGAGATACGCAAATCACACAGGAACTTCCACACTGCCGGCAGTCTGACAAACCAGCTAAAAAGGAAGTTGCTCAATGGCAACTCAAGTGGTATTAATGAGAATGGACATACAAAATAAAACAGGATTACAGACGAGGTCGTCTCACAACAAAACTTCATACAGCCTGGGAACCCCGTGAAAAAGTGAAACAACGTTACTCACTGGAAGTGTATGCTCGAATTTTAATTGCTATCGAGGCAGGAAACTGCCTGTTGCTCAGGTACGAAGACGGAAATAAGCATGACGATTGATCTGCTTCTTGTGGTGTTATATGTCTGACTGACTTCAAACAAACTGTGGCCGTGGAAGAAGCAACTGCTTAAAATTTTGAAAGATATTTAGTTTGTGTCAAGTTGTAGAATGTCTAGAAGCGAAAGCCAGCAACTGCTGACTAATACCCCGTACATTCTCACGCCCAAAAGATGGGGAATTTTAATGATCGTAAGTTCGATTTTATTTCTGGATACCTTCAGTGCTTCATTTTTCGGATTCATCAACGATATTGCTTCGGAGTATTTTGAAACAACCCCAGCAGCGACGGACGTTTTGTCAACTATAAATATGATAGCAAGAAGTGTTTTCGGCTTTGTTCTAGCAATGGGCGGAGAGCAGTTAAATTTTCGATCACTCGCACTTGCTACAACCGGTACTATAGTCGCCGGTGATTTGCTTATTACAGCCGGTGTATCTTCTAGAAGAAACATGGTGATTGTTGGCATGGGACAAATTATGAATGGATTTGGTGCCACAATGACGTTGACCTTATCTCAAATGGCTCCCAGCAACTGGTTTCCCGAAAATGAGCGTGGAAGAGCTGTGGCACTACCGTGGATATTACGCCGATTATCTCCCGTGGCATCCAACATTGTTGCAACGCGGACCATACGACAAGATTATGCTAACGTTGGTAGTGCTAACGCAACATCCGCGTATTTCGAGAGCGATGAATTATTGAAAAATTTTAGAACATCTTTTCAGATCTCGTACATAGCGCTTACTGGAATAGCGCTTGTCGCATTTGTATTATCACAAATGTATGTTACAGACTACCCGCCTCGCGCAGATGGGAAAAAAGCGTCTCCAGGAACAAATACTTACGGATGGAGACCACTTACGGAGCTTAGAGGAATTTTGAGTTTATTCGCCAATGGCCAGTATGTTCTTTTATTGTTCATGTACGTTTTGCAGCTTTCAGTTAGACCAATGAATGAGTGGATGCTTTCATCCATAATTTTAGACGCTTTCCCAGAACTCGATGACAGCACTGCAGGCATTGTATTTATTGTATCTTACGTTATAGGTGCATTTGGATCACCCACGGGTGGATTTGTACTTGATAAATTTAGGAGACCTAAAGTCACTCTTGTGTTTGGTCAATGCGCTGTTATTATTTGGTGCGGCTTGTTTTCACTTGGTGTTTACCTACAAAGTTTTGTGCTGGTTTTTATAAGTGATGTGGGAACAACATTTTTCAGAGATTTTTGTTTTGTTTGCATATCTCATTCCTTGATTGAAACCCTGTATAACGAGCCAGCAGACACAAAGGTTCGTGCATTCAGCATTTCTGGCTCTGTTCCATGGTTTTCTTTAGCGCTTTACACAGCTTTTGTCCGGTATGTTTTGCAAAACGGTGGCGCGGGCCTCAGCGTTTTAATACCAATACCTTTTCACGTTATAGCCGGGGTATTGTACATATTTTTTTACAAAATACCGGGAAAAAATAATGACGAAGATTCCAATTGATTCATTCATTCATATGCATTATTTGTTGCACTATGGTTCTACGATTTTTTTTCAACTTCATTTAAAGATATTTCTATTTTAAAAAGTTGCACATATAGAATTTTTGCAGATATTTTATGACTTTAAGTTATTTTTTACAGTACGAATAGAGAACTTATGTTGAATAAAAGCATTCATTGAGATTCATCTTTGTGCAATTAATTTTATTAATTGAGAGGTCAGGGACTTTATAGAATCCTCAGGTAGTTTAAAGAATTTGCCCAGAGAATTGAATAATTTTTCTAGTATTCATCCAAAGACCATTCAATTTTGATGATAGTTTTAAAAACTAAAATCAAACAAAACAGCAATGCATAAATATAGGGATACAAAATCTATCACAGATTGACTACATGCAGTGATGGGATTTGAAAGTTTCAAACGGGTTCTCTTTTGTATCGGACTCACCAACATCAGGTTCCCTCAATTTAGGTAATTTATTTTATGTCACTAGGTGGGTCACTAGGTATTTTATGTCACAATAATATGACATGCTTTACCCAAATCTTTTATATAACTTTCAAAACGCAAAATATGACGTCAAATTCACGTATCCCATTTCCTGCGTCTTTTAACGTCTATAAACAAGCACGGGTTTGGCAAGTATCACCACATTCAAAAAACGGGCTATCCACAGGTTCACTCTGTATCATTAAAATCCAATGTAATAAGTCATAAACTTTTTTCCGGTCTCCCGGAAACGAGCAATATACACGTCTCTCCGTACGTTAAACTGTATACGGGTAACGACAAAATTTTTGATTAGTGATTTTCAAATCGGTGATATGATTAAACACAACAGAAAAACCGCTGTTCAACTATAGGTAAAAACTACGATAAAAAAGTATCTTGAATTAACGCAATATATAAAAATAAATCAGGGATTTTCAACTGATGTATATTGTATATACATGCAGACGAGGGTAAATATTCGGATTAGGTGATAAATTTATTCAGTGAGATATTCGCTCACAAATTAGTACGAAGTTTATTCTTAGTTTAGTGCATTTCAGATAAAGCTGCTCACAGCAATATGTGCTTTCGAACGCGTACTTACAGTGTCTTACACCAGTTTTGCACTGTCACTTAACAACTGCGATGCTGACTTGGCATATCATGCAAACGGATTTTGAAAATGCGCAGGGAAGAAAAATGTAGAAAATCATGTACAACCGTCGTCGCAATCTTTGCTCCGTTTACCAGACATTTTTCAAAAATCAAAATAAACTGAACTTATAAATGGACGTTCATCAAGTAAACCACACACAACTGATGTTACTTACTACAAAACAAACGCCGTATATCAGCACTTGTTACCACATAAATTCGTGTGGAGTCAATAATGAATGTAGGATCAATATATGATTTGTATGCATTTAAAGTCGGTTTGTTTGAGGGCCGCAAAATATTAGTTCGCGGGCCGCAGTTTGCCGACCCCTGAATTAAAGTAATTAGATAATTTCATCGTGTGATAGTCTATTTGACCTATGTGTCCATATATTTGTGGATTGTTTTTGATCATATTTGCTGTTGCATATGTTTTTTGGAGGTTAAAGTAAAATCAACTTGGAAGTTTTATAAATTCTTTAATATTTTATAAGCTATTGTAGAATTGCAACCAAACACCCGAATCCATTTTGATATTGTATACAGCAAAATCCAATAGACTGATTTTATTAAACTATGAATTAATATCAATATAACCACTTTGAATTTATATTTTGAATTGAACGAAAAATGATAAAACCTGGACAGAGAACTCTCAGATTCGAAGCATATCTCATCGATTTTTTAATAACCTAACAAGTTTACCCAAATTTAGTTTGAAATATTTTGCATTGAAAGAACCAGTGTACCCGTCTGGATTAAAGTACCAATTGATTGATTTAGATGTGTTGCACTTATTTAAAGTACGTACACTGTAAAAAAAATTTACATGGAATTCCATGGCAGCAATTTTTAAGGTATTTTCCGCTCAAAATTACTCAAATTACCTTTTAAAAATGACAGGACAATCCCGTTTTCACAACCCAAATTATCGGGAATTCCCAGTAATATTTATCCGACTTTCCAAGTCGATTTCACCTCAATTCTAAGTGAAACCGACCTGTTTTTCCCTGTAGAAAATGCACAACTTGCATGTATACCTGACACGGATGTCCCTGTAAAATGTGTGATAGAATTTCCCTGTATATGCAATTACAGGGGATTCCGTGGCAGCAGTTTAAACTTGGAATTCCGTGTAATCCCTAAGTACCTCCCAAGCGTATATGGCAGGTAAACAAAAGCAACAGGCATTATCAGGGGGGTACGCAAAGTTATTCTCAAAAAGCAGTCATAAAAATCACAGGCATTGTCAGGGGGGTACGCAAACTCATTCTCAAAAAGCAGTCATAAAAATCACAGGCATTGTCAGGGGGGTACGCAAAGTTATTCTCAAAAAGGAATCATAAAAATCACAGGTATTTTCAGGGGGGTACGCAAAGTTATTCTCAAAAAGCAGTCATAAAAATCACAGGCATTGTCAGGGGGGTACGCAAACTTATTCTCAAAAAGTAATCATAAAAATCACAGGCATTGTCAAAAAGGTACGCAAAGTTATTCTCAAAAAGGAATTCCCAGTATATTTTACGGCGTCGCAAAAACAGGGAACTGAAACGTATTTTAAACTGCTATTTCCTTGTTAAAATTACCGGATGTTTCTGAATTTGCAAACATTAGAATGTTTAAAAATGGAATCGGGAGCAAGCTGACAATGTCAGTCAGGCTTCTACCGCAAAACTAAACATGACAGAGCGTAGGAAACCGTTATCATACATCAAGTCACAATCAATTCATTCTTCCGGATTTTTCAGAATTTGCTATTACCAGAATATTTGGTAACGGAAGCTGACAAAGTCACAGGCTTCTAGCACAACATTAACACGACAGAGCGTCGGAAACCATCATCATACATCAAGTCAATTCACATCAATTTGCGCTTCCGAATTTTTATAAAAGCCGTCGTTGCTTAATGTAAATCGGAACAGCGTTACAGGTTGCATTATCGTAAATGTTGCTACAGTGTAGTTATTACGGAAGAACCCGACTCAAGCTAACACGGATTCACGGTCAATAATGCGACACAACAGAATAAATTGGTAAATACAATTCACCAAATACTTATATAACATATTCAACAATCTAAAGCCAGTCAGATAGTAAACCACGGTATTAAACGACGCTAGCGAGTAGCGACATATTAAATCAGACTGTCATCAATGAGCGAGAATCGCTGTAATTGTTAGCTGAAATCCCGGCCAAACTTCTTACTCTCACATCGTCCTGCTCTATTGTACAATTACTTGAAGTAGCTGGAAACAAGTTAAAATATGGATAATGATGATGAAAACCCAACAACTGTCTGGATCGTAGAGCTAAAGTAACAACATGTTTGTGAATAATTAAAGATGCAAAAGCATGAAAATATGTTTCCATGAGTGGTCCAAATTATTTCCATTTTCTCAAAGTTTAGGAAAATTTTCCCTGCGGTGAAAGGCCGGGAATAATCTTTATATATACATATTTCAGTTTATAGTTACTTGTGCGTGCTATTATTCCTTTGAACTTTGTCCGCCTTATTTATTGCGCAATGACATACGCGTTTAGAGCAAGCTCTATTTTGTTTGAAAAAAGTTTATGACATCCGGCAATTAAGTAATTATGCTACACAACAGGGGTAGCCAACATGTCAATCAAATATTACAAACAGTCGAAGACAAGTTGGCCACTCTTGCTGTACAGCAATAATCAGTAGAAACATTTGCTTTCGCAACAATTAATTGATACAGGAAATGCCATTTCTTCTGAATTACGGTGAAACAACTCATTGCCTATTGTCGTACATTATGTCGACTAACGTTAACGAAGTGTTTTTGAATGAACTGCTTGCAAATTTCAATAAAATATAGTTTGTATCTAGTTGTAGAATGTCTTGCAGCGAAAGCCAGCAACTATTGTCCAATACCCTCACATTCTCACGCCCAAAAGATGGGGAATTTTAATCATCGTTAGTTCAACTTTATTACTGGATAGCTTCAGTGCTTCATTTTTCGGATTCATCAATGATGTTACTTCAGAGTATTTTGAAACAAACCCAGCAGCAACCGACTGGCACTATAGTGGCACCGACGGTGTATCATTTACTAGAAGAAACATGGTAATTTTTGGTATGGGACAAATTATGAATGGATTTGGTGCCACAATGACGCTGACCGCCCTGCCCTCACTTAGAATCAAAGAGGACTGATCACTTTATGTCTCACAGTGGCGACTAATGGAATTTGCCGAATTCTAAAAATGGCATGAATTGTGAATAAATCGTTTTGTATAGAAATTTGAGATTTTGGAAACTGAATAGAGAATTGAATCAAAACCACGAAAATTATGAGATAGTTTGACAGTCATCTTCACATCATGTTTTGTACATAGTAGTAGTTCAGTTTTTTTTCTTCCAACTTCTACTTCGATTTTCACAAATATAAAATGTATTTCGTGTTAATTCCCTTTCAAATATCATTGATATATTCCGTATGGTTCCATTACATTTGAACCCACGTACATTTGAACCCACGACAATTGCACCTGCATGCCATTGCACCTACGGAATTTTTTTTGGTTCTACGGATATTTGTACCCATACTAACCTAACCCATGGGTTTTAGCACCCGCATATTGATTGAACCCGCGGATATACACATGGGTTCAAATGTACGATCACTATTCCGTATAACATCGTAGAAACTGACTTATTGTGATGTCACAATGTGTCTTTTAATTTTTGCGCATGAATGCGCTCTTTTTGAAATAGAGTCAAAGACTTACCCTTCTTGGACAAATGAGGACACTAATATAAACAAGCACGTAGTATTGTAGGAGTAACATAACTTACAAACAGTTGTAATGACCGATTTTATTCATCTCATTCTGTCTTTATTTTTATAGTAAGAAAGCACACATGATATCCGTAACACAAAAATTAACGATTCTAAAGCCTAAAATATTGTTAAAATTTCAATCAGGATTGATTTGGATAATTCTGCCTAATTTAGTTTAAAACACAATATTGAAATAAGTATAATGAAGGTGTCAATTGAAATCATTTTCATTATTCTTCTGTGGTACCTTATAAAAGAGTATGTACAATATTCCAGCTATTACATGAAAAGGTATGGGAATCAATACACTCAAAGCCGCTCCACCGTGTTGCAATACATACCGGACAATGCCAGTGTAAAGCGCTAGAGAAAACCACGGTACAGAACCAGAAATACTGAATGCGCGAACTTTTGTGTCTGCCGGCTCGTTGTACATGGTTTCAATCAAAGAATGTGATATGCAAACAAAACAAAGATCCCTGAAAAACGCAGACAAGACGTCACTTACAAAAACCAAAGGAAAGCTTTGTAGATACACACCAAGCGAAAACATGCAACATGAAACGATAGCAGCACATTGTCCAAACACAAGAGTGACTTTAGGTCTACGGAACTGATCAAGAATGAAGCCACCCGTGGGTGACCCGAATGCACCTATAACATAAGACACTATAAATACAATGCCTGCAGTACCATCATCGAGTTCTGGAAAAGCCACAATTATTATAGATGAAAGCATCCATTCAACCATTGGTCTAAGTGAAAGTTGCAAAACGAACATAAACAATAAAAGTACATACTGGCCGTTGACGAATAAGCTAAAAATCCCTTTGAGCTCCGTAAGTGGTCTCCACGTATAGTTATTTGCACGTGGTGGCATTTTTTGTCCATCTGCGCGAGGCGGGTAGTCAGTAACATACAATTGTGCTAATACAAATCCGGCCAGCGCTATTCCAGTAAGCACAAGATATGAGATTTGGAAAGATGTTCTAAAATTTGTCATCAAATCATTGTTGTCAAAATACCTTGTCGTTGTGTTAACATTATCAATGCTATAATAACCTTGTCGTATGGTTCGCGTTGCGACAATGTTCGATAACACCGGTGATAATCGACGTAATATCCACGGCAGTGCCACAGCTCTTCCACGCTCGTTTTCAGGAAACCAATTGCTGGGAGCCATTTGTGATAAGGTCAATGTTATTGTGGCACCAAATCCATTCATAATTTGTCCCATACCAACAATCACCATGTTTCTTCTAGAAGACACGCCGGCTGTAATAAGCAAATCACCGGCCACTATAGTGCCAGTTGCAGCAAGTGCAAGTGATCGAAAATTAAATTGCTCTCCACCCATTGCTAAAACGAACCCGAAAACGCTCCTTGACAACATATTTACAGTTGACAAAAAGTCGGTTGCTGCTGGGGTTGTTTCGAAATACTCCGAGGTAACATCGTTGATGAATCCGAAAAATGAAGCACTGAAGCTATCCAAAAATAAAATCGAACTGACGATGAATAAAATCCACCATCTTTTGGGCGTTAGAATGTACGGGGTGTTGGACAATAGTCGCTGGGTTTCGCTGTCAGACATTCTGCAACTTGATGCAACTAAATTTCTTTGAAATTTGCAAGCAGTGCAACCAAGCACACTTAGACTGCGTTTGACATATTCGACACAATGTAAGGCAATAGGTAATAACTTATTGCTCTTTTCGTACTTCAAAAAGAATGATATTTCCTGTTTCAATTAATTATGGCAAAAGCAAATACTTTTACTTATATTTGCTGTACAGCCAGAAATACCAACCTATCTTCGACTAAGGCTAATATCTTGGAATACCTTGCGAACGACTGAATGGTAATAAAGTCCCACATACAAATAAATGAGTAGTAACAATCCTTCACTCGCTCAGAATTAATAAAAATGGACGTTTCGAAGTCACTGGTGCTCTTGCGAATAAAACAGAGCGAACAGAAAGTTTGAGATTCCGTAGAAGTTACGGTCAAAGCGTAGCATATCTAAATGAATGGTAGATTTTTCGTCGCTCTCGGCCCGTTCGTTTCTTAAACTTGACAGCGACAAAACGTGTATTTGAGGAATGCTAATGTGCTTCATCAGGCGTGTCCTCAGACACACCGTATTTTGGGCATGTAGAGTATCAAATTCCTTCTTTTTTAAACGCAGAACAAATGATTGGCATTTTGCTTGGTTTCTCAAAATCATACGCGATCGACAACTCCAGAAGGCACGATTGATGTGTTGGCCATTCCTGTTGTATAGCATATAGCATTTTTCGGATTCATCAATGATGTTACTTCAGAGTATTTCTAAACAACCCCAGCAGCAACCGACTTTTTGTCGACGATAAATATGATGTCAAGAAGCGTTTTCGGGTTCGTTTTAGCAATGGGTGGAGGACAATTTAATTTTCGATCACTTGCGCTTGGTTCAACTGGCACAGCCGGTGTAAATTCTACTAGAAGAAATATGGTACTTTTTGGTATGGTACAAATTATGAATGAATTTGGTGCCACAATGAAGTTGACCGCCCTCACTTGAATCAAAGAAGACTGATCACCTCATGTCTCACAGTGGCGACTAATGGAATTTGTCGAATTCTAAAAGTGCGACCGATAGAAATCCCATAACCACATACAAATAAATGAGTAGTAACAATCATTTACTCGCTCAGAATAAATAAAAATGGACGTTCCGAAGTCACTGGTACTATTGCGAATAAAACAGGGCGAACAGAAAGTTTGAGATTCCGTAGAAGTTACGGTCAAAGCGTAGCATATCTAAATAAATGGTAGATTTTTCGTCGCTCTCGGCCCGTTCGTTTCTTAAACTTGACAGCGACAAAACGTGTATTTGATGAATGCTAATGTGCTTCATCAGGCGTGTCCTCAGACACACCGTATTTTGGGCATGTAGAGTATCAAATTCCTTCTTTTTTAAACGCAGAACAAATGATTGGCATTTTGCTTGGTTTCTCAAAATCATACGCGATCGACAACTCCAGAAGGCACGATTGATGTGTTGGCCATCCCTGTTGTATAGCATATAGCATTTTTCGGATTCATCATTGATGTTACTTCAGAGTATTTCTAAACAAACCCAGCAGCAACCGACTTTTTGTCGACGATAAATATGATGTCAAGAAGCGTTTTCGGGTTCGTTTTAGCAATGGGTGGAGGACAATTTAATTTTCGATCACTTGCGCTTGGTTCAACTGGCACCGCCGGTGTAAATTCTACTAGAAGAAACATGGTACTTTTTGGTATGGGACAAATTATGAATGAATTTGGTGCCACAATGAAGTTGACCGCCCTCACTTGAATCAAAGAAGACTGCTCACTTCATGTCTCACAGTGGCGACTAATGGAATTTGTCGAATTCTGAAAGTGCGACCGATAGAAATCCCATAACCACATACAAATAAATGAGTAGTAACAATCATTTACTCGCTCAGAATAAATAAAAATGGACGTTTCGAAGTCACTGGTACTATTGCGAATAAAACAGGGCGAACAGAAAGTTTGGGATTCCGTAGAAGTTACGGGCAAAGCGTAGCATATCCGAATAGATGTTAGATTTTTCGTCGCTCTCGGCCCGTTCGTTTCTTAAACTTGACAGCGACAAAACGTGTATTTGATGCACGCTAATGTGCTTCATCAAGCGTGTCCTCAGACACACCGCTTTTTGGGCATGTAGAGTATCGAATTCCTTCTTTTTTGAACGCAGAACAAATGATTGGCATTTTGTTTAGTTGCTTAAAATCATACGCGATCGACAACTCCAGAAGTCACATTGCGTGTTGGCCACCCTACTTGTATAGCAAAATATTTTTGTTCAAACCAAATAGCTCTTTCCCTAAACACGTATGTCACTGCACATTAGAGAAGACGGGCAAAATTCGGAGGAAACGAGTATACACAAAAATATACAGAGAATATTCCCGGCGTTTCACGGAAGAGACAAAATTTCAAAAAATGAAAGAAAATGACATTAATCTTGTTATGACTTTTTTATGTTAACTTTAATTACTCACAAACATGTTACCTTTGTTTTTCATAAACACTTTGTTGTTTATGCTGCGGAAAGATCCTAAATAGTTAGGGTAATTAATTACCATGAAGTTTTTCTGCATGATCAAATTGAAAGTAGTTATAAATGAGAGAAAAGTTAAACATAGAGGACCGAAATATGCTAGAGTTGGTCAACAAAATATTACACTTCGCCGCGTAATCTTCATGTCTGTGTTGAGCTCTGGTAACGAACATTTATGGATAAAAAAGCGTAGGTGCCGGTCTGCTATGTGATTTTTATGCCATCGTTTTCAACATAAAATGACATATAGACTGCATTTTGATCTATAATCAAGAAGAAATCATAAGTTTTATTTGGTCAACCAGGAATAGAGTATAAAGAACAAAAAAAATATTGTGACTTTTCAGTTTGGCGATGATCAGCGTTTACACTTGCGCTTATCATGGATCACAAGATAACCCCAAACTTACAATTAGATCGCTACTATCTTTATTGGATGTTATATCGAATCATAAAGAAAAGCAACATTTTAAAAAAAATAAAACTTGTTAGTTTTTTGGTCCCATCACTTTAAATGATTTATTTACGAGTTAAACGGTTGTTGTGATTATATATTTATTATCCTATCTCTTGACATGTTTATAGTTACTTTATGTAATTGTGCATGAAGGAATAAGAGTAAGAAGTTTGCTCGAGATTTTAGATAACAATGAAAGCGGTTCTCGCTTCTTCATGACAGCCTGATTTTACATGTCCCTTGTGAACTTTACTATTGCGGTTTGATATCTAAATCAATTTGGATATTTAAATCTCATAATATGAGTACTTATCGTATCGTATGTATATATCTTGTATGAGTATATGTATAGCTTTTTTTATATTATACTATGGTTAAATTTCCTTCTCCTACTTTACTAAGTGATGGGGCTTAGTTGATATTCCTATCTATATATCCAAGTTACTATAGTGTTTGCATTTTTAGAATCAAGTACTGGATTATAATCACCATTATTTGGTATTTACTATTGAATACTTAAAAATTGCAACTGATAGTCCATTAATTACGAAAAAAATCGATTTTTTTCCAACAGCAAGACCAAAACAGCAAGAATGTAGCAAAAAAATCCATAGGTTACCCTTCGCGACCAATAATAGGCACATTGGAGTTCAATGAATCGAACCCGAAAAATTCACGGATTTTAACGCTGTTTACGCGACATTGAATAGGAAGCTTATGATAGTACATAAACAGTCGATAATCAACGATTGGGACTGTAAAGTCTCAATCCTAACGGCCAATCTCACGCATTAATGACAGCCAACTGGAAAGATTTTATTCAATTTCAAAAAGAATGGCCGAAATATTTGGTAAGTATACCCAATTATACACAGAACGCTGCACATTTTGGTTCTGTGATATCTCTAGTTTTCGCCTAACAGATAATCTTGAAACAATTTATAATTCCTTCATAACGCGACTGGCCGCTTACATTTGACGGAGCCAAATATTTGTCACGAGCTGGTCAATAGGAGTTTTCCAAGGCAAAAGGAATTAAGAGCAGAGTAAAGACTTAATAGTTTATCTACTGACATTTGTTGGTGGATATAAACATGAACTCATCAAAATTATTGTTACGATTTTCGATAAGTTTGCAAAAAGGACGGTTTGTTTAGGTATTCGTTAGTACATTCTCATGCAGTATTATACTCATAAAAATTCTTTTATTGACTATGTTATTGGATATTTTTACTCAGAATACAGTTGCCGTAGTAAATGTAGATTAAACAAGAGTAAGCACATGCATTTCAATTTGTCCAGATCATGGCCACGATATGGAATAAAATATTAAAGTTCTGATGTCATATATATAGGTGTCCTTTACAATAGCAGGTGATAACAATTATTCATTATAGCGTCGCACCAAGTGTTAATTAACAGCTATAGTGGAGATAACTAGTGTTACAATATGATGTTTGGTGAATATTGTGTGTCGAATCTTCAATCAAGATCATTTTCTTTATCATACGCCATCTCGAACGCTAAATTGTAGCGGGGACCCGTGATTATGATACTGTGTTCATGTAAAAATGTCATATTTTCACCGATTCTCATTTTTTTGTGTCTAGTCATCAATCTAATATGTGTGTTACTAGAAAAAGATCATTAAAATGATCCGATCAATACACCGAATTATGATGTCAAGGACACCAAATCAATCGCACAGATCTCAAGAACATTCAATACATGGAGTTCTGAAAACATTCGACACGTATGAAGAAGTAAGAGTGCATTTTCCGAGGAATGGAACATCTTTTTGCGTCAATGGAAACAATCGATTATCGGTTGAAACGACCAACAATCGCACGCCTAAATGGAGACTCTGGCGAATTATTGGCCAGGATGATGTTTTTCAACTGTCTTACTCTGAAAATAGCAAAATAAACTTATACATAATAAAATATCGCAACGGACTGATGTTAGAAACACGGACTTTTCTTTTTAGACGACCAAGGTTTCAGTCCAAATACCGATCAAGGAACTTTCGCCTTGGCCAAGATGATTTCCATGACCCGGATAAAAAATTCCTTCAGCATGTTGCTAGCGAAATGTTTTTGATAATACATTCAGAAAAACGCATTTTATTAACAAAAGATAAACGTTAACTACTGCTGTGGAGATTATCCCCTAAGATGCTTTCTACTAACTTTTTGGACCTCCAAAAGTATGCGCACCAAGATGGCGCACAACCTGATCATAGTATGTGTGTACCAGTTAGGATTCAGGTTGTGCGACATCTTGGTGTGCATACTTCTGGAGCACCAAATTTTTTCTCATACCAAAGTCACGATCTCTTACCTAAAAAAAGGAATAGATAAGGTATTGCATGGAACCGTAGCTTATCAATATATTATTCTCCGTTGACAATTAATTACAATTTTTTATCTCATATTATCAAATATGCTTGCAAAATTTCTAATGTGCAAAATTGCCGGAGGGGACTATCTGTTATCTCAACCGTGACATTTTTGCTAGAATGCCCGGGGGCTATAGCTGAAAATGTGCTGCACAGGGGATACGCTCCCGACGATGTAGAACAGCTATAACTTTTAGAGATCAGTGGCCAGCAGTGGTATTTTGATATTGTAGTTGATTACATTTATACATGGTATATATATGACTATAGGGCAATGATATTTGAGACCTAACTGTTGTCTGAGTCGGTGAAGAGTTAAAATTCAAAGGATTCGAAATTCTGATGAAAATACGAGCATCGAATCCCGCACTGCGGAAAATCATTGTGCTTCTTTCCGTTTGTACGTTCGCATCTTTATTCCTTCATTTTGTGTTACTGCCTCAAAGGTTGGTATAGTATTGTACACTTTATTGGTATAATTAGAATAAATAATTTTACGGTTTCTGATAGTCACAATAAGTAGAAAGGGAACTGTTTAGCCAATTACGGCGGGATTGACTATATTATTCATATCAAGAAATGTATTCAGTCAAAAAACTATATATTCCACATTTGGTGATCAACTGGACAAATGCTGAGAGTGATATTATGTCTAGTGCAGGGTGGTCCAGGCCCGCGAGCCACTTGTGGCCCGCCGTCTCATTATCTGTGGCCCGTGTCGCAATATTCGGGGAAACAAAAAAATCAAATTTGATGTTGTTTCGTCATAAAAATTGCTGCCGTATTGTTACATCACTAATGTTAGTAAATTGACTATAGTGTTATGGCTAGATGAGACTACTTGCGCAGTTGTAGTTTGCTAGGCCAGTCTAAATTGTAGACTGGCTTACTTTTCTTGTCGGGAATATATGCTGACAAAATAGGCTTCATAAAACACTAAATATCGAATGAGGAACCTATTAGCCTAGGTTGGTTATGTCTCATAACTAAATAATAATGTAATGGCCGATCAATATAATTTCTGACGGGTGTTTTTTTGCAACCAGCCTAAACAGTATTACAAAAAATGCTGCCTTCATGTCAAAAAATTTAGTAATTACCCTTCTGTACCTTACATTTGGTAATCAATCAATCTGCAGTTATTTGTAAGTGGTTTTGTAAACATGAGTTTGAAAAGAAAGCTGACTAATTCAAACAGATGTTTGACTGGATATGGGTGGAGAAATACCACAATGCTTGCTTAATATGTCTGCAATGTATGTTGGTGCAATCTAAAAAGACATTTTCGCTTCATGACCCTTTCTCCCTTATGAAGAGTTTGAAGTCTTACGCTAGATATAGTATAGTAAGATATTTGCATGTTTTAGTGAGTTTTTTGGTGTGTTTTACGTTTCTTAGCTTGATAAATATTGATCAATGTGTTTAAACCATAACAGTGTTCGTTTTCTACTGCACTGTTTACCTATTCTTGGCAGTATTGTGGCCCGCGAACAATACAAAAATAATAGTGTGGCCCGCGAAGACGACAATCTTGAACCACCCTGGTCTAGCGTATTAACATATAATGCGTCGTTTCTTATTCACCAAGTCGCCCCTTCATTCCAGCACGTAGATATCGATAAATATATAATTGATAATTTCACCTAAGCTGTTGTTAACACATAAATACAAATGTCGTATTTTCCATGAACTTTTCTCGAAATTCTTCATTAATTGCAGGTATTTGAAGAATTTGAAATCCGAAAGTTCAAAAGAATATACGAAAACCAAGGTATGCAGAAAAGTGAAAAATATTAGAAATATATCTTCAGGTTTTTGCTTCACTAAAATTTACTGCACAGAACGGGCAGTTTCGATTTAAAATTTTTTCTATTTATATCACAGGCATAAAATTCTGTATCGAATCGTGTGAACATCCTCCTGAATTTATCCATTTAACGTAGTTGCATTAGTACATTTATCGGTACTCCCGTAGTGTGTGTACCAGGTTAGGGCTAGGCCATAATTGCCTGCCCATAGGTTTTAGTCCCTTTACACATTTTGATGTAAAGTAGGCGAACAAAATTAGTTACCTCCATACTGGTACACACACTTCTATAGAGCGCCTATTCGCCGATGGTGGTCCGATATACAGTTGTAGGTTGTTATCTACTCCTTTTACCCGACGGACACAGTACCTGCCTATTTTTTGCGTTTCGTTTACATGATCTACGATGACACAAACGAATTTACCAATTCTAATTCAGAAGGAATCAAATACTGCAGTAAAAATACCAGAGGAATATCTCCAGAATTTTTCAAATATATCACCACACGATTATAAGTATATTATCAGGCCAGATACTGAGAAGATATGCTCATACAGACAACCAGAAAGGTATGGAGAAAGCCATAGCGCATTTCTAAACCGTCGGCACCAACCGCCATAATTGGGGAGTACCATTTATTCAAATAATAATGCCTAATTTCCCCACAATAACAGTAGTAATAAAAATGAATAAACAAAACTTTTGAGAGTATGAAATAGCTTGCTGTGTGAAAACTTAACAGGTGCAATTACTGCTATCAAATTCTCCTGTTTCATCTCGATCCCTAAGGATTTTGAGGAACGTTACTCTCTTTTTCGTATACTAAGAACATTTATATTTAGGTTGAATGAAGGAAATTCAAAAAAACGTCTCTTGATCCTATTCATTGTTCACAGTAAGGCTGAACATTTTGAACATAGAAATGCAATTCGTGAAACATGGGGCTCAATTGCAAAAAGATTGACACAGGTATACTCACGAACGTTTACTGATATTCAAAATTTCAGGCAATTCTGGATTTATTCGATGCTTCTTTATTCCCCATTACTATTATTCCACTCATCTCTTATCCCTTCCATTTCACGACTTGCTTTTTCTCCTGTCACACTGTTTGAAATTCCATATCGACTTAGCTATTTATCTTCACATCATTCTCCTTATTTCTCCTTTTTCATTCTATATTTTTCCGTAAACCCTTAACATATTTTTCCATTTTAGGTTGTGTTTTTGCTCGGTGACCCAAAGAATGTCACATTGCAGGGTATGGTAAATGATGAAAATCGGAAATTTGGTGATCTCGTACAAGAAGATTTTTTTGAAACATATCGGAATATAACTTTAAAAAATATTATGGGTTTGAAATGGGCTTCACAACGTTGCCCACATGCAAAATATGTAGTCAAGACAGACGACGACATGTTCGTCAATTCAAAGATGCTGATTTCAACTTTAATCAATTCAAGTAAGCTTTAGCTAAACTTGATATTGTTAAAATTACTCCGTCATATTGACTATAAATGCGACGGCAGGATTGGTCTGATTCTTTTATAATTTTATATCTTATCTTTTTTCATTTTATCGACAATTGATATTTACTGATATATACAATTAATTATCTGGGAATATACTAACGTAGCACAACGGACGGGTTCTGGCCCGTTCCGTTGTTTTCACCTATTACTCATGCCAGCATTAAAACGGGACCCTTTTTGATTCACGATTTTGAAATGGGTTCTATTTGAATAATTAACCATAATTTTACTATCATGGTTTCTTAAATTGAAATTACCCTGTTTGTTCTTTTTCATAGGGCTTCCGAAGAAAGATTTAATAATCTGCAAAATCCATTTCTTCAAAAATGTACCCAGAGAAGGAAAGTATGTTATTGCAAGATCTTTATACGAAGAAGATTACTGGCCTTCATTTTGTTTTGGGGGATGTTGGATCGCATCAATGGACGTCGTTCGGCGTTTGTTCGACGTTTCACTGAAAACGAAGCAGGTAAGTACGATGACATGTCAATGTAGAGTCAACAGTTTAGCGTCAGAAAATTGACAGACATAGTTTGAAAATGATAATGGAGAACGATTTTTAAGTCTTAACAAAATATCAATAAAAGCGATAAATATACTCAAAACACAAGAACAATATATTGAACTCTTATAAGTGAAATACATGTTATCACTTGCGATAACGGTCATTGTTAGCAGGTTGTTTGTAAACACTGTACAGTATTGGATTTCTTAATTTTAATGAAAGTACGCAAAATTTCAAGAGTAAATAAAGAGCAAACTTTTCTAGACATCCGTTTCCCCATCAAAACATTTTGTCATTGTCTGACGTCAAGTTAGAATTATCCATTCTACAATTTAGTTGGAAACGCAAATAAATCATGATACTATCCATTTTTTCACAGATCTACCTCGATGACGTCTACGTTACCGGTATATTACGAACAAAGTTATCGATTCCATTGAATTATATATCTAGGGCATATATGATATTTTGTCACACCAGGGGAAATCACACAATGGTACGAAAAATGTGGAATGACATGGAAGCTAGTAGGATTAACAAAATGTCCATAGATGGGATACAAAGACAAAATGAACCATATGTCAAATTTTGGGCGAGATGCTTTACTTGATATGATTGCGTTATGATGTTTAAGTTATAGATGAGCACCCGCGTGTGAATTATAACATCAAAAATGAAATTAGTTTTAGAATTGCACATGATATTTCAAAAACGTTTATCCTTTCTATAGATGTCATATTGACCAAACGGACCTCCTGAAATATGCGCGCCAAGATGGCGCACAACCTGAACTCAGGTTGTGTACCAGGTTAGGGTTCAGGTTATGCGACATCTTGGTGTGCATACTTCAGAAGTACCGACCAAACTAATCATGTTTGCTCGTGAATATTGTCTTTTGTCGAAATATTATCGATGCCGATTCTGATCAAAAAGCAATTGACTTATAAAATTGTGGCTTACCATTATAAAACTTCACTGTGTTCATTGTAAAAAATATAATTTATAGAGTTCATTTATATGTAATATGATTTGATATATCTTATTTTAAAGTAAAGAACTGTTGAATAAATTATCCATATCATTCATTGGTCTATAATAAATAGCACAATAGGTTTCTCACTGTTTATAAAGGATGAATCACAGTGCTTACATACGGCTTTTACCTAGTACAGCGATTAAATGAAGCGCAATTTCTGCACTATCCGTTGCGTCAAGCTGAGCTTTTGGTAATAGGTTCAAATTTTACATTTAATTGCCATGCTAGCATTAGGAAAACTTCAAATAACATCATTATTGTGGGAGAAATATATATATATACAAACACACTTGAAGATAACATTTAAAGATTTGGATAATGTGTGTTGAAATATATTGCCTCAGAGCTCCAAAAGTATTTTGAGCCTATAGTCTTTATTTTGCTCTACTCACAATTCAGTGATAGAGAATATACAGTGTGACCTCAGTAGTCGAACGACAAGATATTCGATCAAATTGAAAGTCGACCAAAATATCTAGTTAATTAAAAATGCTGCGGTACTCGGGTATGCAATCTGTCACAGTATAATATAGTATGGCAATCTTCACTACTGACGCGAAACGGAACCGCCGCAAGGTGCGCAATTTTTGATGACGTCATCGCACAAACAAAAACGAATTCAACAGAGCCAACAGAAATTTGCTCAAACGTACAGTGACTGATACAATTTTTTTTAAATTTTCAGTTTTAAAATGTTTGATCCTTATTATGTACACATTCAATTAATTACTTCTATTTAGGTAGACGCTTTGTTAATAATTTGTGTAATTTGTAATGCGTAAGAACGAATAAAAATAATCACCATTGTTTCTCATGGCAAAACTTTGATTTAATTTCCTTGTGAAGTGGAATTCTTTTGCACAAAGCAGTGGTCGCAACCCTTCTTTGTGCCGCAGACTGATTTCAAAACAGAAAATTGTTGCGAACCGACCAGTCGCCAGCAAAATCATCCACCCTGAAATTATGGAACAATGTAGTCTGTTCTGCAGTCGCGGTATTGACGCTTAAAAGCATTTCATTTTTTTACGGTTATAAGCCCATCGTTCCGATGTCATATTCTGCAGATGGTGTTAAACCGTTTCAATATAGATTTTAAATTATACTCATTATAATTTGCAATATTCAAACTGTCGAGTGTCAAGTTTCAGTGACAAACCTAACTGCTACTATAGATTTGCTCTAATTTGTAGCTTATCAAACCTAGTTCCTGACCTCACGTTTTTATTTAACTTGCTAATCTATCATAATATTTAACTGCAGGATGTTAAAAATCAGGCGATCAAGTTTCATTTTCATATGACGTCCGGTATAACGTGTGTCTTACGTTACGTTACAAAAATATTACGCTACATTATCTAAACCAGAAACGCACAAGGTCCGGCAAAGAAAACTCGACCACTGGCATAGAGTATTCTAATCAACGCTATTTGTAGAATTATTTGACTTTTCCCCGTAGGCAGTCGGTAAAATATACTAAAGTAATTACTACTTGTGATCAATGTTTGATGGTAACTTCACGCGAAGCAGCAAACGATATATACGCATGACTTCGTTAAATTAAATATCTAAAGAAAATTTAGGGCCATAATATTCCGGAAACTGTTTTGGTTTGATATCGCTATTTTATCTTCTGTTCATTAGCGAACAAACGTTGCATCAATTACGTGTGCTGGCATGGAAACTAGGTGCGTAGTTTTGATGTGTAGTGAGGCGCAAACAGCGCCTGTATTTCTACGTTTTACGAAGGAAGATTTGCTTTCTCATGGCGCAATTCATCTATTTTAGGCCTACTATCGCAACACGACTAACGCATAACGAAGGTTTCTCCGCCTTTGTTTAACTTGGTTATTACTGAAGTATGACTATACTGACTTCAGACGTTCAATCATTTACTAATTTCTCCGAGATATCGCTAAGCGGACCACGGTTTACCGTCATTATTGATTAGCTTGTACTTAGATTTAAACCGCTGTTTAACTACAGAGTAAGTTGTGAACACTATTTCAGGCTATTTCATCGCACTGCGTTTTTTCAGCAGTAATTTAAAATGGAAGCTTTAGTAGGAGAGTGGGTGTTGGAAGAAAATGAGAATTTTGATGGAATGCTAAAGGAGTTGGGTAAGATTTTGTAGACCAATGAATAATATTCTATATAATGTCGTGGGGTGTGGCGATTGAAATTAGTTATTATACCGAGTGAAATGGAATTTCTCTTAACGTCGCTGGCTACTCCTGCGTGTTATATGAATTACGCTATAACCAAACACTGTGAAAGTAATCTTTGCTCTACGATCAATCGCATACCGCATGGTATGCTGAATCAGAAATTTACACTATACACACAGTCCGCTTTATCTAATCAGCAAGTACACCTAGTTATGTACAAGTATACGGTACCAGACGTCTAAACGTAATGCATGAATGAGCACGTAATTGCGTAACTTCGAAAACCGCCGGTGCCGGTAACAGCGTGCTAGATTGATTTGCTGAACTCATTAAATCCGATAGTTAGGTCGTGATTTATTGTATTGTGTTTATTGTTCACCGGTTCCAGCCATGAACTGCAAAGAAAACCATTTGAAATAATTGAAATGTTAAGTATCATCGTTTTTAAGAGTAACGAATGACGAAAATATTGGTTCAGTGCAAATGTAAATTTTGTTGTTGTTAGGAATTGGTGAATTGGTGTAAAATAATTTTTAAATTATGCGTGGAACATTGATTTTTTGTCTATAGTTCGGTGGAATAATATATGTCTCGTCCTTTGTCCCCTGTTACTCTTAGTATGGTCCGTTATGAAACAGAATATTGAAGTGCTTCAATAGCAACCCTAAGCCTCCTTATTATATTGTAAGTGTGCTTTCCGTATAACTATGTAATTACTTGTCTCGTGTTTCTCAGGCGTGAATGCGATTGAACGAGCTATTGCAGTGCGTCTGACAACATACGCTGAAATAAGGAAAAAGACTGACGATGAATACGAACTGAAGACAGTCACAGGTCCAGTGCGAAAGACGAGGCAGATGAAATTTGGTTTGGAGTTTGAAGATGATGCGCCCACTGGAGGGAAAATGTCGGTAAGGAATTTGTAACATAGCATTCTGTAAGAATAGCATGAGCTCTTGGAAACGTGGAAAATGATTTGCAGTTCAATACCCTAGTACCCCTTAACTTGCTTTCATTGCAAACAATATTCGAATGAAAAAAAATCGTAGCTTGGAGAATTTTAAAGCGATTTGGTGCATTTTACCACACCGGAATTCCAAATTGTTTCATAACATTTACTAGTGTCGTTATAATATTTGAAGGGTTCATGGAAACTGGAAAATGGACGGATGGTTGGAACTTTTTTTTTCAACAAAGATAAAAGGAAAATGACTATAGAACGATACAATGAAGACGATAAACTAATTGAGGTAAGATGATTAGAAAAATACTTCGCAAGCTCTCTCTACAGGGAGGTAATAAATGCGTCAAAAGCCACCGGGTTGTAATTCCTTCAGATTATACGATTGAGACGAGGCATGCTACTCAATAACGAAATGCACATTGCAAATAAAAAAGGGAACTATCAAAAATACTGGCTTTGTTGTTTCGTCGTACTATTGTATCTAACAAGAGCAATTCCGCCCATTGTTATTAGACTGGCGTTACCGATAATGTCGACGGATGAAATCAATTATTATTCTTTGCAGATAATGACGGTTGGGAAGGAGTCGTCAAAAAGAACCTTTAAAAGGAAGAAATAACAAAAGCTTGATCTCATGTTTAGAGTTCTTCAACGCATGAAACACACCACGTATTCATGTTATTGCTATTCGCCTTATTAATCTTGTTATTCAACTAACATATAATTGAATCGCCTCCTCTTTCTACTCAAGGTGTCGATACCGATTTTGTAGACCAATGCCATACATTTTTGACGACTTACGACTTACATGGTAATTGACCCACGCACTACTTTCAACGCAAGTTTAAGATAAGCCCCTCCAAGTGCATAGGTACTTGTAGAGGTCGCATTCGACTGGTCCATCGTTGATCGATCGAGACTCCGACTTATATTGTGGACATCGTATTTCCCTTGTATCCACTTGCTAAATCTTGCGGAATAACATTTCGCACACACAATTTTTGGCGTGTATGAGTTAGGTACGATATTTACATGTTTCTCTTACTACTAATAGACTGGCTATAACGCACGATGTACAGAATACAACTCTGCAACTGTAATAATTTGGACCACGCTTCAACCTTGTCCGAGGATGTTTGAGCCCCGGTGCTCAAATATATGTAATCAAATATTTCCCGACAACAACCTCATTCATGTTGTTCTACTTTCTCAACTTACCTATGCATCGTCTTCATATTAATGTTTGCCAATAAAATTTCAAAGGTTATTTGATCGGCTGGCAGCAAATTGTGACAGAAAATATATACGATGTTTTATTCAAGGCTCAAACGAGATCGCGTGATCAAGTCATGCGTGACAGTTCGATTTATTTATTACTCGGAGAGCACAGTCGTCGGGTTATTTCTACCGTCCACATCTTCCAATGCATTATATCATTCTAGTTGTGGTCAGACAATGCGAGCAATAATTCCCTTTGTTACAGACAGGCATATAGGTAGAGTACTCCTATAGTATGCTATAATATAATACCAAATGGACATAGAAGCTTTGCTATGTGGCTAGATAGATTGAATAGGAATTGGTTTTCACAATACAGCAATAGTAGTGGTGGTTTCGAGTTCAGCATAGGTTAGTTTGGCATACTTTAGTTTACTTTCCACTTTACTAACTTTTCGCTTGAAGTAGCTTAGTTAATAAGTAGTAGTAGCTTGGTAATTAACAACATATCGCGCACGTGACACTTGCGATGGGCAGTAGATTCAATGGAGAATGGGTTTGCTCAAAAGATGAAAACTTTGACGAGTTTCTAAAAAAATTAGGTATGTACAATTCCCTCCATTTTTCTCTGTAAGTGGTCACAAAAATTTAATTCTCAGTAAGGATTATAAAAAATATACGATTTCGGGGATATTCATTCATCCAAATAGAAGCAGAATGCCAGCAGTTGCTTTCGAGCTTGCCGACTCTTTCTCATTTCAGTCAAAGTTCAACGTTCGTTCTAGTCGCACACCATACTCGAGAATACGATAATCTGAGAATAAACATTTAGCGAGGTGTTCAAAACTATTTTTTCTGCCTTTGTTGTGTATTAAATATGCACGTAGGGCGAACAGTGACAAGGGTACATTATTGGACAGGAAATGGACCTATGGATCGTTTTGTTGTTATAATGTTGTTGTGAAAAATCGAAGTTTTGTCCGATGACTTCATCAAAATTGAAAATCGGTGCCGTGGTTCCGTGATAACGTCTCAGTGATCTGGTGGTCAGACACTCGGACTACCGGTAAGGTAAACGATCTGATACTATTTCGTTTTAACGTTCGTGTTCACATATTTGAGCATTGCTCTATTGTAATAAGTAAAAACAATAAATTGTAATATTGCATTTAAATCTATACCAAATGTAATAAAAATATTTTAAGGTGTCGGAATGATAGCTCGGGGAATGGCGAAAACTTTAACAACAACTCTGAATATTCAGAGTACGGACGGACAAAAGTTCACAGTTAAATCAACGACGGGTCCAAAAACAAGAGAAGTTACATTTGAAATAGGGAAAGAAATACAAGAATCATCTACTCTGGGCAAGCCTATGAAGGTAGGTGGTTGTAAATTTATTCAAATTATAATGTCTACGCGATAGATTATATTTTCGTATATCAGAAATCTAGACCTCTGAGATAGGAATTCAAACAAGTTACATTTTACGACAGTAGGTACCTTAACTTATTCCGGACTGCTAGTCACTGGACACGGAGTGACCTATGTGTCGTGATGACCTATGTCGTCGTTTTGTTAAAATCGTTGTTGTTGTTGTTAGTATTCTTCTTATGGTTGTTTATCGCCTTTCTCTTTAACTAATGGATCAATTGATTGCTACGAAATTTCTAGTGGTTAAAAATTGTTACTGTCGCTAGAAGGCTATTACTTTTATTTCAAAAAATTCTTTGGACTCTGTGTGATTCATTTTCCACTTTGAAGTTTTGTGTGATGGCGTTATCAAAATTAAAAATTGCGCATCAACCGCGATCGCATTTGAGCGTTCTGGTGGTCAACGAAGTCGGGACTTTTTTGACGAGGCAGGCTACTGGTACTGTAACAGATTTGAGTGGATTTTAAATAATTGAAATTGCTATAGATAGAAATATCTGGTGAAAAGTGGGTACTCCCGAAGTATGTGAACCAAGATGGCGGAAACCGGAACGTAGTATGTGTACCGGGTTAGGGTTAGGCCATAATTTCAGGTACAAATACTACGGGAGTCACTTGGCTAGTCCCAGAACTCGTAATAAAGTAATAGAACTAAAATAAAGAAAATTGGAATAAAATTATGGCATAACCCTAACCTGGTACACATACTACGTTCCGGTGTCCGCCATCATGGTTCACATACTTCGGGAGTACCGAAAAGTGTTAAGACAGATAAATTATATCAACGTTATTATGAGAATATATTTATAAGTTTTGCTCGACAGGGTACGTGGAATTTAGAAGGCGACGACATGGTGGGAGTATTTATGTCCGTAGATGGCTGTGGTGATGCAATTACTATAAAGAGAACAATACAAAATAATCAACTTATCCAGGTATTATTGATACAACTACCTTTCTTATTTTATGAATTCGCTTTTTAATTGAATTAGCAGCCCTTTATGTGGCTATTTGTATTATTTCACATAAACAATCAACCAAATATTGTGCTACTAAAGTCTGAAAGGGATGTTTAGTTAATTTTGTAATGTATATTTTTAGAAAATGCAGATTGGATCAACAGAATGCACAAGATATTTTAACAAAAAATGACATGCGCAATTGATTATAATTTAATATTTCTATTTGTGCTTCATATATAATATTAGTTTGTTAATTCATGAACTATTGTGTGTGGCTGCTTTTGTTTGTGATCAAATTCGCGACTGGACCCTGTTTTAAATCTCGACACCTCTGGAATATTTCGTTCTTCCATGAACGAAACAAAAAGTTTTTGTGCCATGTACAAGTCTTGGTGCCGGGTCGCCTCTACTGTTTTTTTGTTTTGATGTCATTTTATAACATCCTCAAAGAATAAATTTATAACTATTATTGAAATTGATTTACTTATAATAATTTCATGTTGTCTGACGCCTCAATTGCTGTTGTAAACAAATGGAAGTCGTATGGCTCTTTACCAATAAAAAATAATCTAAACAGGACGAGTTAGATTTTCTATCTTATTAACACCTGTACTTGCTATATAAGGTTCAGTTCATCAATTGCTACAGCTCACACTTCCTGATTTTCGAGATAAATTCTGTACTTCATTACCAGCTTGATAATGTTATTCTAAGGCCAAGGAAGGGTACTCCTGTAGTATGCGAAACAAGATGACGGACATCGGAACGTGGTATGTGCACCAGGTTAGGCCATAATTTTATTCCAATTTTCCTCATTTTAGTTCTATTACGAGATGGGGACTAGCCAAGTGACTCTCGTAGTATTTGTACCTGAAATTAGGGCCTAACCCTAACCCGGTACACATACTACGTTCCGGTGTCCGCCATCTTGGTTCACATACTACGGAAGTACCCAAGGTAGGACATACTGATATGAATAATTCGCCTCCAATGTGAACTCAATGCAGTATGTTTTTTATCACGATAAGAAATTCTATTGCAACCCCAACTATTCAGTCAATAAGGAATGCGCGTAATGCCGAGTTTGTCATCATGTTTACATCGTCCAATCTTCTAGCACCGATCTAAAACTAAGCATTGATTGAACATAGTTATTTTATTTTCAATCTGTCTGAAGTGTTGCTAGCAGTGTATGTCACTATATACATATATACGGTATAAATTGGAACTGCATTCATATATCTGTGGAGCTCTGAGTTTGATTGGCCGCGGACGAAAGCTTCTTACCCTCTCCATCCACAGTACACCGACTACACCGGTTATGATGATACTCACGGGGTGTCGTTGCATTGCGCAGTTTCTAAAAATGATGAATATAATTTATTATTGGTAGTATTCAACTATGCTAGAATATAAATTGTCGGAAAGCGGGCAACAGATACTAAGTCTATGCATCTGAAAACAAATAACTGGCTATCTAATCCCCATGGACTGGTAACCGGACGGAAGGTAGTGGTTCGCCATATGATTAATCCGTCTTATTGACTTTCATCTCACCCGGGATAAATATATGAATTCTATTGTATATGATAGTAATCCTGTAAACGAACTCACTTTTGTATGCTCGAAGCAAAAAATGAAAAATATCGAATCAAAACTTCAAATAAGCACAAAAAGACAAAATAAAATCTTTCGCCATTAAAAATCAAGTTTGACTCAGAGACGACGACCGGTGTTTTTAATCCAAAAGATTATTTACTGTTTTATAGAAAGTTTCATCAGGGGAAGATCATAATTACTGCTAAAGAGGTGAAATTCCAGTGGGATACAGGTTTTCGAATAGAGCATAAAACCTTATAGCATATAGCTATCCGTAGGAGGATTCCTTTTGATTAAGTGTTTTTTATATGTATTGGCATTTATTAATATATTGACTATACAAACAAGATTACCTCGCGAAATGATTTGCCTTTTTGATTCCAAACAACTTTCGCGGCAATAGCCGGAACGCATAAAACAGAACTGAAAGCTGTGCACCACGCGATTACATTTGCCCATGTTGGATAAATATTGGTTCTGTCGTAAGTCAAAGGCTTGAACTGATACAGCGAGTAGAACATCAAAACCTTCAATAATATGAACCAAATAAATTATGTTGCTATTTATGTGTCGCGTATTTGCACTTCACAATAATATATTAAGTAGATGGTTGAAATGGTTCCATTACATTTGAACCCACGTACATTTGAACCCATGACAATTGCACCTGTATGCTATTGCACCTATGGAATTTTTTTTTGTTTCACGGATAGTTAAACCCATACTAACCCTAACCCATGGGTTTTAGCACCCGCATATAGATTGAACCCGTGGATATACACATGGGTTCAAATGTACGGTCACCGGTTGAAATACGGAGATATAAAGAGTCAATGAACATATTTAGATAAGGAAAATCTGAGAATTCGGTATCTTTAAGATGCGTTATTTGTACTTACCGATACTGATAACGGTGCAATAAATGTCCAGCTTGGAATGAGCCAAATACGAGGTATTCTCATTCCCACCATATTCTGAATATTTCTGCAAAATTTGGAGGCTCCATATAACCATGCAATTGTGGTACATTCGCAAACTACGATAAAGTAGATGCACCATCCCGCCACAGAGTACGTATTGATAACATGAAATATGTATATTCCTCCCTAAATTTAAAAGTATACAGGTCTTCGATACAAAAGTGTTAGGTTTAGTATCACCCTGACTGAGTTTCTGTATGCAAAATGCGAGATATTGAATATATATATATGAAATTCCGTATTAGTTAAAGACACGGGAGGGGTTTGTGTGTATGGGGGTATTTTCCAAGGCCCCAAACGAATTCAATTGAAACATAAAGATTTATTCATTCAATTTTTGTGATAGGCTACTGTATTTAATAATATACTAACTAACTTACTTTTGGTAGACATTAACCACCGTGTTACAATTTCACCACATGTTACATAAAAATTATATATACTATGACAAGCATTAGCCAATTAATATCCTAATGAATGAAGTAACCTAAGAGTTTGTTTAGCACATATTCAACTTGGCTAGTCGTGTTCCGTGTTTACTTCATAGAGAACCACATGCAGCCAACACCTAATAACGGCGTCGATTTTATCCAATAGCAACTCGGCGCGGTCAATGAATCGCATAACTCAGTCATCCGCAATATCTGCTTCTTGCGAAAGACATGTACTAGATTGCACATTCTGAACAGTCGCAATTGTATAACAAGTTTAAATGTATCAAGACATTTAGTAGAATGGTGGTTTCGAGATGAAAAGTGTATATTGGGACGGTAAAATATTACCAGATCTGTGAATTTGGGAAAAATACACAATCGACTACGAATTCCGACTCGGGTTGAAATTGACTTCGATACCGGCTTCGAAATATCACTCTAAAATTTCTAAAATACCAATATATTCAGGATTTTCACTCCGGATACATATAGTGACGTCATCGACAAAACAATTATGTTTCTTAAAAATTCTAATGATGATTTTCGTGTGAAATAAATTATATATATTTAAGCTTAAGAATCATGTTTTTGTCCAGTGATTATCAAACAGTCGAAACCAACAATTAAAAAAAAAATAGAGATTTTTAACGTCTTCCTATTATTAGCGTTGGGGACGGACTGCGATGATTGATACTGAGTCGGCAGATGAGTTTGAAACCTCTTGTCAGTCATCCTGTACTCGTCAGCACAACAAATCAACAGCTTATATGTAATAAATGTTCCCTCTAGTTTTTGTAGTATGTGTGCGCAGAAATTTTGGTGTGTGCGCACTTTTTTGGAAATGACTAATGTTTGTGCAAAAACCAATGAAGAAATTTTGGCGTTCTAACCGGGTAATGGGTGGGCCAACAACAAACTTTCTCAACCTGCCAACCGAGCACATCGTTACATTACATCGAAATACGTCTGTGCGCAGTAAATCCATGCGTGTGCGCAGCCTCTGAAAGCTGTGTGCGCGCGCACACGAGCACACCTTAGAGGGAACACTGTATGTAATCCCCACAGAGTTGCAAATACAACTCCAGTTCCGACTCCGACCCACTGAAAGCATGCCGAACTCTGACGCCATATATTCGCTATTTGTATACGTACCGGCGTGACCATCGATAAACCAAGCAAGAACATTATTGATCCAACAACAGCATGCCCAATTTCATGGTTCCACTTATGTCGAAACAGTTTTGGAAATAAATCTTTCAAACACTCTATCACACCATCTTGAATCACAAACTATAAAGTACAAATAAAAATCGGGTTGTCATACAGAAATTTGTTTCTGTGGTCGAATAAATAAATCTTGTATAAATCACATCGAAATAGCGCAACAGTAATCCAAATGCATATTTTTTATTTTATGCTATACTCTATTGCAACCCACCACTGAGTCCAATCCGAGAAGTATTAACATGAGAAAGAATAACACAATCCAACAATTTGGCAACGGCAAGAAAGAGAGAGCAGTAGGATATGCTACAAACACCAGTCCAGGTCCTGACTCAGCTACGGCGGAAACGCTCGTATTCTGTAGAAACTCAAAAGTAATAATCAATATTTATGTTGTTATTACAGTTTAATCAAAAAGAATAGGGAAAACATCCTGAATTTGCGTTACGCAATTGCTTTTATTATTTGGCCAATCGCCGTGCATGATTACTGATTATGAACGAGTATATAAATTGATATTTCCAATGCAATTTGTAACACTGTTTCTTGGCGCTCCGGAAGTATTCGTACCAAGATGACGCACAACCTGAACAACCCTGACCTGGTACACATACTATGTTCAGGTTGTGCGCCATCTTGGTGCGAATACGTCGCGAGCACCATTTTCTTAGCTTTGTTTTGAATATTATACGCGGTGCTTCCGATATTGCGTTGCTAAAAATAACAATTTATGATATATTAAGTTGTATCTAACTGATCCATGTGCCTGTGACCGAAATAGGCAATACTATTCAGTTGCAGAGTAGTATAGTACCACATTCCTGCACTTGGACGCTGTGCCTTATATTGGAAGATATTTATACTGTGATATTATTTTTGAAGTGATAAAAAACACGTTACCTTAACCTGTGCTAGATGCCCGAGAACAGAAAATATAGCAAAACCTGATGTAAAACTCGTGATTGCATTAGCACAGGAAACAATCGCAGCGTCTCTGAAAAAGTTGTAAAATATACTTTCTGTATTTTCATTTTCAAAAATTATTTCATAACTAAAACAACAAACAAATGGGTGCACTGTAAATGAGCTAATACCTCAATAAATTATGATGAAACTGATTATGAGAACTTAACGTTGTGAGAGCACCACATCCAACAACAAATGAGTACATGACTTGAGAAGCAGCATCAGTCCATACCTGTACAAAAACAACAAATAGGTATCAAATATGAATCCGTCAATGGTTATTTAGTACCTAAGATAACGTCCATGTTACCTCAACTTCTAATAGCTTCGTTGTATTTGAACGCAAATATTGTTGAATTCCGTCTGATGCTCCTTCTAAAGTTGCGCCTCTGACCAAAACGATTACAATCATAACCAACGGTAAAGTTGCTGTTACATACACTACCTAGAACGAAGATATTCGTAGTTCTGCCCGACTAAAATGGTGGGAGGTTCTCGGCTGATTGGTTCCTCGGAAAAAATTGTAAAGAGACTCGACGTTATATAGAGAAGTATAAATATGAACTGATCCAATACTTATAAATACAATCATAGTTTCAGGTAGCCCAGGGCATCTTTAAAAACTACTAGCGATTTTTCGCTTATTTAACAAAGTAACACTCTCATACACACACATTCTCATACATGCAATTAAATTCGTTTGGCTGTATATGTACATTACTCGAATGGCTGTATATGAATATGACATTTGTTGTATATGTGATTGGCTGTAAATGTATATGGGTTGGCTGTATTTGTATACCAAGTGAAGCATACTTATAAATATAACTTTCTTCAATTTCAGGTAGGCCAGGGCTTTGTTAGAACTACTGACGATGCTTCGTTTTTTTAACAAACGATAGGGCTCTGTTTTTTTAACACTCCCCCATACATACATTTTAAATCGTTTTGCTGTATATGTACATTACTTGGATGGCTGCTGTACATGGATATGACATTGGTTGTATATGTGATTGGCTGTAAATGTATATGGGATTGGCGGTATATGTATACGAAGTGAAGCAATTTTAGTACACACAAATCGAACGTTTACAAACAAGTACTACATTACCTTACTCGTCCATCTAATACCTTTCCACACAGAAAAATATATAAAAATCCAAATCACAAGAAGACAGAGAGCCAAATCCCATTTGATGTTTCCAAATTCTTCTAGTCCACCCGAAAGTGAAAGAATATTAATTCTGCAGAATAAAAGCAACCGCGAAATTGTTTTCGAGTATTAAATTATCACGTTGTGAAATGTACTTACTTCCAAAATTCCTCAACAGATGACAGCCCAACTCCAGTGCTAGAAACATTATTCAATGAAGAATTTACTGGAATTTGTAGTCTTGCTTGGTTCTAATATTTGAAATAAATAAATTTATATTAGTACACATTTCGAAATAATTCTTGCTTACATTGGATAAATATGTTGGATAATATAAAATAACCTTCCGCCAACTACAGTAAACTGAATGGCGCTTTATAGATTCTTCTTATCACACCACGAATTCACGATTAAAGCATCGTGAAAGAAGTAAATAGATGAAAAAGCAATCTAGCTGCGCAAGAGTGAATTAAAACATATGGTTGATGCAAAATTATATAAAACTATTTCTTAATGAAACAAGAGAGCGATGCTCAGATCTATGAACACGAAATAGCACGGGTCTGTAGTCTGTCACAGTAGCCTACCGGTACCCAGTGTTCTCGACTTCGCCAGACCATAAGATCAATGACGAGAAGGCAAGATTTTTAATTTGATTACGTCATCGCACACAAATAAACGGATCTCATAGAGCTCACAGTAATTTTTGAAATAAATAGTAATATCATGAGTTCAGGTTGCGCGCCATCTTGGTGCGCATACTTCCGGATATCCGTAAATAGTAATGTAAATCATAAATTAAAATAACCTTCTAGCGAAAAATACATTCTGTAACCACTGAAAATTCCAAGCAATTGGTCCAGTAGTTAAAAAAATAAAGCGATTTTTTTATAACAACAAAACGATCCATAGGTCCTATTTGTGTTCAAAAAGCAATTCAAAATACAACTTAGATACTAGGTATATTTTTTGAGTATGGTTTTATTTTTGCCGTGTAATTGCCAGGAATAAAATAGGCATCTCCGTGTTACGACGAGTTGAATTACTACAGTTCATACTGCAGTTCATACTACATTACTACAGTTCATAGACCGAAGTATTAAGCGGATCAAACCTGCTTGTTAATTAATTACCTTATACGTATACGTATTACCTTAGTAAAATTCATTTCTTCTTGAAACAATGGTATGCAGTCGTCATTGTTCCAAGTATTGTTACATGATGTCCATGGTGAATCAATGGAAAATCCAGCAACTAGCCAACGCAAGGCCCATGCCAATATAACGGGATAATATATATCAGAATAAACTAAAATGACGCAAGTGGCATGTCCAATACCTAAATAATAATTGCAATAATATTAGAACTAAAATAATGCCAGTCGATTAAGCCCGTATTCAGTGGTAAGATTCTATTTTTTGTCAGTCGGTTTCATCACAAAAGTCATATTTTTCAGTCGGTTCTGTTACAAAAAGTCATTGACAGTGCCTTGTAATGCTAACCGGTTCGCTGATCTCATAAAATTCCGGTTTCATCACAAAAGTCATATTTTTCAGTCGGTTCTGTTACAAAAAGTCATTGACAGTGCCTTGTAATGCTAACCGGTTCGCTGATCTCATAAAATTCCGTGAGACGGTTCTATAGAACAGGTGCGAACCGACTGAATCCCACCACTGCCCTTATTGTTGATTTGTTTCGACATCATTTGGATTTTGCGCTTTCAAGAACAACACTCGAAGCAAGCAGTATTATATAAATGAGCAATTGCGAACCAGCAACTAATTCCACAAACTTGCATCACCAAATTAACAACGTTTGCAAACAGTATTCGCATTATTTCATAATTAAGAATTCTTGCAAGTGCAGGTTTATTGTTTGACTCTACAAATATGTATGAAAATGACCGAAAATGATGTATTCTTATGTATGAAATAATAAGTTACTGTCTCTAGGGAATAACGTAAACAATGTCGTACGGACTTGCGCTGTCAAATTCTTGAATCGGGAGAGTTGACATAAGTCGTGTGCTGCAAATATTGGCAAACATATGGCCGAGTTCTTTGCTTTATACATAGAATCTTGGATTACCAAAACTGAAACTATTTTGAGGCTTTGAATTTGTAAAACTTCTATTGCCTAACCGCAGCCGATAATTATCTATCCGCTGTTATCGTGTTTCCCCAAAAATAAGACTTAGCAAAAATTGTAAAATATTTTTTAGGCGGTCCAGACGTAAGTGTACCGATATGGAGGTAACTAATTTTGTTCGCATACTTTACATCAAGTTGTGCGAAGGGACCGAAACCTATGGGCAGGGGGTATATTCACTTGGCTAACACAAACAGTCCCTGAACTCGTAATCGAACTAAAATAAGAAAAATCGAAATAAAATTATAGCTCAACCCCGACCAAATAACACATACTACGGGAGTACCGATTTTAGAATAAGAACTAGTCGATAGCGCGAATTTTTTTTATCTAATCGGTAGCAAGAAATCTCTCCTACACGTTTTAGATGATCAATCTATTTCGTGTGGAAGAGGAAAAGGTTCAATGACCTGAGGTGACGTGAAGATCACGCTACGATTCATATTTTGTATATTTAAAAATCGTAATTCTTTACTTTGTAATTATTTTTTTTTAAATGCAAATAAGAGACACCCCTCTAAAATAAGCCCTAGTGTTATATTTTAAAAGAAAAGTGAAATAATACCCTGTCTTATTTTCGGGGAAAACCGGGTATAATATATGCCAAGAATTTTGTTTTGAATGAGTGAAAAGCTGAAGCGCCTGGCACGAAGATTATCAATCGCTTGCTTCGTCCGTGTTTGTTCGAGGATACATCGTGATGTTTGCTAGTTGCGTACCTTTTCTTGGTTCACTCATAGTTATTTATATGTTCTTCGGTTAAAGAAATGACAGATGTGTTTGTATCTTAATTAGATTACCTTTCATTAACGGTATGATCTGCCATGCTCTGATTGCACTGTCACGCGTGTATTGCCCAACAGCCAACTCCAGGATGATTGTCGGCAATACGACGAACAGAAGTACCGCAAGGTATGCGATCAAAAATACGCCTGAAACAACACAGAATATTTCAGAAAAAGTCTCATCGTGTCAAAATGTTTTTAATCATAATGACGCAACATAGCTTGACCTATGAACCATTTCATAAGAGGAATAATGATTTACAACGCTTGTTAAACACATATTTGAATCACTTCGTTAGGCGTATATGTTTCATCTACATATACTACCCATATACATCATCAGTATATAGCATGCTATATAGATGAAAATGCGACAAAAGTACCTTTTTAATGTGAATATATATATTATATATATATAATATTCGTCTTCGAGTCAGTAAGTTTAATCAATGCCTAATACAAAAACCTCTTTCTACTTGATGCAAAGAAAAGTTGAAATAGAAATAAACATTCCTTTTATTTGATCGTGGATGAAAACAGCGCCGTACTGATTCGATTTTACTACATGGCATAACCCCTTCCTCTTTCATAATTTCGTTGGGGGCACACATTATGTAACTTACTAACCAACCCAAACGATGCCGGCGTTCAAAATTGCAGATGGACAGGGGATTGACTATTTTATCACAAAGATAGTATTCCAAAATTAATATATATATATCCCATTTTTGAATGCTTATTTTCACCTACCGCCTCCATTTTTGTAACACAAATAAGGAAACCTCCAGACGTTTCCAAGTCCGATTGACATTCCAAACATAGTCAGTACAAAGTCAATACTTTTTGACCAAGTTTTTCGCTCCATATTATTCTGCGGAGATTCAACGGTTTCTTTGGAACACATGCTGTATTTTTACACGTAGATGCTTTATCAGAAAATCAAGCAAAGACTGATAAAAGATAATATTGGCTGCTAAATATGTAAGTAGTTATAGTAATAAATACATACAAATAAAGAGCACTGATAACCGAAATCCTATGTGAAGAAATATGAATATATTTCCATATAACTGGATCCCAAAATTAGCCTAAACAGAGATCTTACAAATTTCAAATCCTCACTTTATTCTGCGCTATTAGGCACGGTATACGGCCTATTACCAGGGTCGCCCACAACGAAACAGTTGACTGCAGAAATCATATACCTCCCCAAACGGCTTCCGTTCAAGTATGTATTGTAATCTAATTAAATCTACAAGTCGGACAAATTATGACATCTGAAGTATTGCAAACGTACTCGGCGACGTATACAAGAGAGGTATGTGTTGTAGTAAATATAACCTCGCTAGCTGCAATCATTTGGTCGAACTATATTGTCTGGTACTTCAGATCTGATAAATTTGGTATATATAGTAAAATAAAAGGATGTTTTATAAGGGTTGCAGATCATAAGGCAATTTTTAGAACACCACTACCTTCACTTAAACATGAGGTATCTTAAAACGTGTTAAACTTACATTACCAAATATTATTACTGACAGAACCTAGCGATGAAGACGCTCATCATCATAATTTTATCAAATATGTATTTGACATCCTTCACTGCATGTAAACACGGTCGTGGAACGGTGAATATACGCGAGATGAATTGTACTAGTTACTTGTTGCAACAACAACGATTCTTCGACATTTGTAATCGCAATTTCAACGAGTCAATTTCCCATCAATATTTTAATTATTACATCGTGGAGTAGTCAATCGAAATAATGCAACCAAAAATAATATTTATTTTAAGATTCATTTATTGTATAAAGAACAAAAGATCTGTAAAGTGCATGCCACTGAATCTAGTCTAGTCAATATTTGTTGGTCAAGTTTGTTAGAGTATTATTACTTTTTCTTATGAAGAAATTTTTTTTCAATAATTGAAAGAAATTGTATGTGATGTATGTATGTGATAATGTATTTCGCTGATCATTGAAATTCAAATATGCTGGTTACGTATAAAACTTGTAATGAAGACATATTGCCATTTTTACATTAGAAGGCTTTACAAAATATAATTAAAATTAGTAAGTACAAAATATAATTAAAATTAGTAAGAATTGAGCTGCTTCAATATGACACAAATAAAGACAGTGGCAGTATAATTGCTTTCCTACAGACTTTTTCGATGAACTTACTTTTGTGTGAAATTTCTTTGCCTTAAATTAAATTTTTCTAAAAAACATTTGCGAAAAAATAATTTTCTAAATGAAAGTGCAATGTCGCATAATTTGCATTCGCTCAACTGTCCGTACTCACCAAGCTGAATCTTCCAAAAGTTTGTTCTCGCAAAGCTACATTCTCGCAAAAGTCATAATTGCCAAAACTACCCCCTCGTAATAATCCGTTCTCGCAAAATACGTTGATGCAAAGTTTCATCTGTTCAGCAATTATTCTCACTAAACTAGGTGCCGCAAAAAATTACCAACCCACCGAAAACAGCCAACTATTTTTGCAATTTATTTATACTTTGCTATATATTTTGCAGCTTACTGCTTTTCATACATGAAAGAAAATACGCCTGTTGAATGTAGTTATGATTCTGCCAATTTAACATCTTTTTTATTTTGCCAAGCTATTGGCACTCCCATTAAGCAGCCACATCCTTTTAAGCAGCATCCGGCAAACATTCCGATAAACAAGATGCATAAGAATCCCCAAACATAAGGCCTGAAATCTAAATGTCTGTCGTAAACTGATTTATACTTTGGAGTTTCTTTTCTGTTTCCCATTTTGATTGGACGTCTACAAGCATGGTTATCAATCATTTCATCCTGTGTGATAAAAGGTATATTTAATAGTGATATAAGGGAAATAACGCATGAGTTCGAGAACAATTTTTTCATTTTTTTTGTATGTACTAGTAATGGATAGTAAATTATACACCCATGACAACAATAACGAAATCATCGCACTCACAGGTATACTAATGTGTTGATATAATATAAAATAGACCAGTTTCTGACAACTAATAATTCGCATTATGGCAATATAAAAGCTGACTGAAGAAATATGGTCAGCTATGAAGTATTCACATAGGCATTAATTGAACAGATCGTTTCTTTTTCAATTTTCGCCACCAATATACCTTTGTGGTAAAGTGTCGTAGCTCGTTTTCTTGTTCTCTCTTGGTCATGTGACATACTCCTACATTAACACAAGATGCCGTATTACGTGGTCGACTTTGAATCTTGTAATCAGACAGCCTTAGTCGTAGGTTTTCTAAAGGAACTGAATACATCCGAATCCAGTTGGGAGCCACATCTGCAATTTGAAAATTGATCAATCAGGTATGCGACAATATTCCATGGTGAAAAATTTGTTGAAAACTGAAATGTACCATTGACTCACGTTTCTTGTATTCCGAGAATATCTTTCCTGTTTCCAGCTCTAACTCTTCTTTATCGGCTGCTGAACCGTCATTAAGGGAAACTTCAATTCCACCTTTTGACTTTTTAGTTACAGAACACAGCGCATACCACATTTCATCAGATATTGTTGACATAACTCTGAACTTAATTAGTTACAAAAGTGGTCATTTGCTTCGAAAAAGTTTTATTATTTTGCATATTAGCTGAATAAAAGATATCTTCTACCTCTGTATATTCAATGTATTTAAACTTTTCCAACGTCTGTAAAACCCACAATAGCTCATTCCCTTCAACGACCCACCACCCGGGAAGTTTATTTAAAGCTGCAGTCCCTCGGTATTCGTTGAATCCTCGACCGTCTTTTCTTTTCACCACAACTATCTAAAAACAAGCTAATACATGCTGGATAAGAAAAACAGACAACTGTATTTCAGTATGGCAAGTTAGGCAATATACCTCTTCTCGAAGATTCCATTCTCCATTTCGGCATGCAAACGCATGACTTCCTATAGCTCTTAGTTTATAGACAATTTATTGCAAAATATAGTTGCTACAATCAAAGACTCACAGTGAATTACAATTCATTTCCAACTGTAACTGTTTAACATGAAAATCAACAAACCTTTCGTGAAAGACTTCTGGCTGTTTTGTTTTTCCACACAAATTCTCGGAGTTCATCATAAATTGTTGTGTGACTTCCATCCCAAGTTTTTGTTGCTATTTTTGAGATGTGATCAGAATTAAATCGGATATCAGAAGGCCTGTTGAAAATGAAGTGAAAATTTTGAATAATAATAACTAGCAATGTATATTAGTATGTCAAATGATATCACAACAATTTTAACACTGGGTGTCATAAATATGATAATTGAAAAAGCACGTACGAGTATCATTTATGAATCTGCATTATTTATATTTAAAGTACCAGTATTTGATCTTATTCACGTAGTTGCAAATAGTAGTCTTAAAATCGTACCAGAACTCTTTCTACCAATCCAAAACCACATATCGTTCATCAAATTTTAAAAAAGTTTCTCGTGTGAACTGTGTTTATTAAATATGAATGAACTTACTATTGAACTTCACGCATACCTGAGATAGATATACTTGGTTGTGCATTCGCAGTATACGTCCACTGTTGCAATAAAAACACTTCTAATAAATCTCCCGCCATAGTAACTCAAAATGGAGAAATATCGCCTTACTGTGAAGCCCAATAAAAACAAAAAATATCCAATATGCATCCCTACTTCGTTTATGAAAGTTTTTAATCACCATAGAATGTAGGTACTAACCTATAATATATTGTTGTAATAATTATGACATCACAGTAACAAAAAGAGTATCTTAATAGTTCTGCAAATAATTTCCACAAAACTACGTTCTACATTAAATGCTCATTGATTCTTTTTCATATCCTCCCTTTCAAATAAGAAAATCAAAGGAACATAACAAAAGCCGTTCTTAGCTGACCAATACTTGTGATGTCAGGCGTTGATTTCATGGACAAGGAAAAGCGTCAGTCGTGAAATGTATAAATGACATTTCACCGTAATTCAATACTGTCAAAAGGTGTCAGTCGTTAAATGTTATAAGTAGCATTTTATCTTAACTTCTGGTAATTTTGCGTTACTTTTTTAACACCCTGTATATATTTCCATATATTGATTATTTACCAACAACAAACTTCCTACTTATAAAATGTGAAATTCCATTTAGTAATCACCGTTAAAATTGAATCTTCTATTTATATAGTGCTATAATTGCGTTTCATACATTAAATTGTATCTTTGCAAAGCAATATTTTAATCCTCTCTTTCCTTCATAATGAAATGAATGATGATATGAATGTATGATACTCTAATGATTAGCCGTTGCATATATAGTCAACCAATAACTGCGAATCATATGCATAACAGTGAATATAGGGGGAGCTGGATGACCGTATCGCTTCCTTCAGTCTTTACCAACCAACAACAGTGTCTATGTATCGTAAGTATTCTTTTATTAATTTATTTAGGTTGACAAACTAATAAATATATCTATCTGCACTGATTCGTGTATATCCGATTCATTCAGTGCCACTGGAAATGCAAAAATTTGGATCCAACAGCTATGTAACAAGCAGACGACAGAGATAGTAGAATCACTCTACGTTATCTTTTCTGGTGGAAAAATCTTTTCAACGACGATTTTTTTTTCTTTTTTTTTACCGATTCGATATTATCACTTGCTCAATATTTCGCAACAGGTTATAGCTAAATGACCGAGAAATCCTAAATTATCATATTTTCGATTCTCTTATTGAAATCCATATGATAAATTTTTGGTATATTTTACAGACTATAACAGAGACGAACGCTTATTGAATAATTTTATTTGGTGATAAAAACAAAAACAATAATACATAAAACAAAAAAGATTGAACACTATAAACTCGGTTAGATGTAAACGTGCGAAGGAACATGTTGATGCTGCCGAAAAATATAAGAGTCGTAACAATTGTCTTGACTCTAGAAGTTGAATGCATTTTACAGACGTCTCACAAAACTCAATTTACAGCTCCAAATACTATTTTTTCAACTAACTTATCCTGGAATAAATTCCATATTTATTCTAAATATATTCAAGGTAATTCAGAATATAATTTATTCCATCACTTCGTAGTCATATCAATTTCATCTTTGGTTATCTTTTACACACCTTTGTTCATTGTTATAGGGTCTTATGTATTCACGCTTAGTTTTATATACATAGTTCGATAAATAGCATTGTGCATTTAGAAGAGACCCTTTCGAACTTATTCATAAATTTGGTCTATTCGTCACAGTGTACCAATTTCTTTTTCTCGTGGCTCAGGCCAAATATCGCCGATGTCTTTTGAATAATTTAATTGAGTTGACTTCTAGGAAGAATGTCAAACTAGTATCAATTTAATTCGTTCACAGCGCGGACATTATTCGTCGAAAACCAAGTAATCGTACTAAATACATAGTTGGAGCAAACGCAAAATTCACCAACACCAAGCAAGTTGACCCTACTCCATACAATGGGTATAAGTAAGCAATGTCGTCCTTAGCATACCAAAACTCCGTAGTGCTCCCGAAAACTGTCTTTTGTATTACGTTTGAACGTATATCTTCGTCATTGTAATCACTATCCTTAATTTGTAACGATTGTTGGCCACTATTCCATAGAGGTGACATATCAGCTGAAGATGCCGTTACATAGTCCAAGATAATCCACGCCACATAAGGCGCCATAGTAACGAAAAAGAACAAAGCTGTCATGAACATGAAGCGCCACAGTGCACTACATCTCACAAAGACATTGGAAGAATGCTTTCGAAGGTGCAACAGACGAGAAGCACTAACAATAAGCCAACACCAAGTGATAAAAGTAACAGAAGCAACGTACACCATGTGACTTTTGCTCAAAGGAAAAAACGCAGTGGAGCACAACGAACATCGAGAGATGAAAGTGTATGTCGTTGACGGTTGGGTTGGATTGGATATTTCTTCGTTTGTTTTCGATTTAGAAACAATTCCTGCGGACGCAATGCCTCTAGATTCAAATTGATCTTCAAAGCTGCTCGGTATTTCACTGAAACCAGGAGGCGAACAGTCTCCAATAGACATATCATCATTGCCACTCACGACACTTTTATTACTTGAAGAGTTAACCAGCCCTTGATCTGCCAATAGAAAGACGGATTGGATACTCAATGTAATCAATCAATCAGTGGACTAAAAATGTTAAAAATTTACCATTCTTATTGGACACGTTAGTGGACATAACGATGGTTTCAATATTATGTTATTTTTTTTATTTGTCATCATTATCATTAAAAAAATCGCTTTTCTCTTTGAATACTGAAACAATTGCTTTGAAGTTTTCAGTGGATAAAGATTGATTTTTTTGCTAGAATGCTATTACTTTTATTTATTTCTAAATTTTGTGTGAAATCTGATACTTCTTCCAAAATATTGCTGTATTACTTTATCCACGAGAATACAGGCTGTCCCGTTTGATTCTGTAAATTATTGCTACGCGAAACTCGAAAATTTTTCGAGGGTACCGGTAACGTCAAAGGTGAGGATTGCTTTGCTCTGGTTAACGTGTCCATATATTTGAGCATTGTTCTCTTGTTTAGTTCATGGTTATATACGATTTAGTAAATTTAATTAGCATATACTTTGTATATTTTGAGTTTCTTGATATAATTTATGTAAACATAGATAGATCATATATTTAAAAAGTTTTTACCTGCTAGACTTTTTGGCTTTTTGAGACGCTTGAAAATATTTTCCACTCTGGTTATGTTACTAGTATCCTGTACAAAGACAAATGAATAATTTTAGTTTTGCTAATTTTGGGAGGAAAGTGTAATCTCAGCTTTATTAAAAACAGTTTCGTCCTATTTTAATAATCTTTGACTTGTAAAGTTTTCAGAACATGAAATAGAATAAAATTAATTTTGTAGCACAACCAATGACTGCAGAGATAATTTAAGTTTTAAGAAACGAACACCATAATATTCTAATTTAATTAAATGCATACATTAAGATATTTCGATGAACTCGTCAATGCGGGCGTCACAGTTGTTGCATGGATGTTGCCTGAAATAAACGGATAGTGTAGTTTTATTTTTGTATGCTATTAGTAAAATAAGGGAAGCAGTATATATAGTTATTAGTTTGTATATTTGATGGAATGAAAATGGCCACTTTTCGGCACATCATACATCGTGGACTGGGTAACAGGCATGATCTGGAACCTAATTGACGTCATTATAAGTTGTACCTGTCAAATAGTTTATCCCGTAGAATAAATTATTATTGAATAACGTAGTTATTTTAAGAAAATTGGGTACTCCCGTAGTATGTGTACCAAGTTAGGGTTGAGTCATAATTTTATTCCGAATTTCCCTATTTTAGTTCGATTACGAGTTCGGGACTGTCTGTGTTAGCCAAGTGAATATACCCCCTGCCCATAGGCTTCCGTCCCTGTACACAACTTGATGTAAAGTAGGCGAACAAAATTAGTTACCTTCATATTGGTACACACACTTCTGGAGCGCCGAAAATTGCAAATGGGAAATTTTACAATAAATAGCCAAACTGTAATAAATATCAGAAGTATAATATGATTGTTACATATGGCCTATTTTGTTTAAAATCGATTCAAATTATATTTGGTTTTCTATGGGTTATCAGATATTCCGTGATCTATATACATTTACATACTTTCTGTTATCAGCTGATTCTGTACAATTGGTATCATCTGCGTAATCTGTACTGGCAAACACGTCATCGGACAGGTGAAAACTAGGTTCCTGCAGATTTAATAAAAACAGTATAGTAATATTCAACTATACACAGCCTCCATTTTATAACGATTCTGTATGTAATTTCAATTGATTTATCCGCAGTCTGTCTTTTTTGAAGTAATAATCTATCAAACTTTAGGCATTAATATTAAAGTACATTTTTTGCATCAAGTTAATGAGCTTTTTGCTTAGTTTGCATTGACTTAGCTGACTTACTCTGATCTCCTGAATGCCAAGGGCAGTACACAAGTCAATAAAAATGCTGTCCACACGAGAAACAAAGAAAACCCGGTGGCACACTTGCTCATCACAGAGTAGCTGTGGCGACCGACGTAGGATTGGGTTCCGGAAGTGCTTCTTGACCGTAAGACTTGAGACATCCGTCTTCCTGTATTCATGAGACGTCCCATGCTCGAACTCCGTTTTTTGGACTGGACACTTCGTTGCTTTCCTTTACCGGCATTATCTGATGCTCCTCTTACAATTTGTGGCTTCCGAGTACAAGATCCAGGCTCGTCTGTGATAGATTGCGTCAATAATGTAAACAGTCGCTTCATAGAATATTAATTATTAAAAGTTCAAATGGAGATATCTGCGTAACAGATGTAAGGGCTAGTTTATCCCATTATCGTAGATTTGGTATGAAGTTAACGTGATAATCCCATCAACCATTTTTAATTAAATGTATTGCAAAAACTAAAAATTTGAGAAAAAGCGGTCCTATGCTTGATTTTGGCTATATCCTTCAAAGTTTTGAACTATCACAATTTTTGCTCGATGCGCACTTCACCACAGGAAAAATGATCAATATTCTCAAGCACTCCATTTTTAAAAATTAAAAACATTTAAATAAATATATTGTATTCAACCTAATTTTATTGAGTACTTATGCATATTGACTATTCAGAATGGTTTACAAAACTGCGTTGTGTCTCCAACACTGACCTGGGATTTTTTCGAAAAACACTGCATCAGGATCTTTGGAAAATGAGGATCGTTGTGGCGAAGAATTTGAGAATCGTGATGCCGTAGAGACTCTCCGGAGAGGAGAATCTCCGTTTCTCATCTGACTAGGATGCTGGAGACGTGAAATATATTAATATACTAATATTTAAATTTATTTCCTGAATATCAATAAATGATAAGCAGTTGATAAATAAATGATGTACTTCAGCGTTTTCCGGTAGCCAAGTATCACCTGTCTTATGAAACAAACACAGATTCACCACTAAAAGATATTAAGATAGAATCTCACCCGTCCCATATTCTTATTAAAGCCATTTGTAGCTGCTGGAGATCCGATTGAAAGAACTCTCATCATTGTATCGAAAGCTGGAAGAAATGAGTGTCCATCTGGTGAAAAAGTTGCACTCATGTGTTTGAAGTCTTCGTGATGCCTTCCCATACTTGTTGTTCTTTTGTAAAGAGCAAAGGTCACGAGGGCAGTATTGAGAACTGAAAGAATCACCACTCCCGCCTTGAATGCTGAAAGAAAAGAAAAAACAGTAATTATCAATCAGTAAGTATAAACATACCTGACTTCAAAATTAGAAAAAAATTACTTCAACACGAAATTGGAAAATACAACGACTAAATGGGAAAGAAAGAAATGAAAAACAGTAAACTTATTCTCATTTATGACTTTCGTGTTTACTAATTATTTAAGGTATCCATTATTCAACATAAATGATTACTGTATATTTCATGTTTATCTTTTTTACATTCTTGTGTTAAATTATGCCTTGAAATCAACATTGATAAACATATACGATTAGTGGCTGACCGTCAATTCATATTCATGTTGCATTTTTGAGAAGTTATCATATTTCTCCGCTTCGCATGACTCTTTTACTTTTTTTGCTGCAAACTAAAGTAAAAGAATAAAGCCGCAAACAAGTCCTATCTCTGAAGGTTAATTACGGCGTGTACCGTAGCGGCGCAAGTGACATTTATAAACCAGGTCGCTTCATTTGTATCTGAAACTTTACCACGTTTGAAATATGCAGGAGTGTCATTGCGATACGCCGACCATCCCTGATAAAACCATCTTCTCGGTGATGAGGTTGTTATATTATTCTCATTTAAGTTGCGGTTACACGCTCTTACACGGTATGTTGTGTTTAGGTCATGAAGCAAGACCATGATCTTGGTTTTAAATATTTTATGAAGCACTGCCTTGTATCATTGTTCATTTCATTATGAATGTCAAAGTGAAATAAAATATGCTTCAAGTTCTTGCAAATGTTAAGTTATCTAAAACAATTGAGTTTTAGACAGATATCACAACAAATGTATATGTTGTATCGAAGCTGATAATGTTTCTAATACCTTTTTGATGCAATTTTGTAAGAAAATTCTTTATGTGTCTGTTCGCTTCATTTTTTCCGATATTTTATGCACGAGACACACTCAATTTTAATTTTGTTCAATTTATCAATTTAAACTGTTTCGACTTTTACGTTATTCTCATATAATTTTACATAGCAGCAAGGTTTTTTTTATTTTAATTCTTGTGTTGGAAGATAGTCACCAGTTAGGTTGAATTATCCAACTCGGTATTACAAGCGGCGTAGGGAGACTCCTACTTCAATTTCTCGCTTTTATATGGAAGAAAATGATCACGTTATACAGATTTTATTTACAAATGTGAACCGGAAGGAGCCTGCCGGTGTACTCGAGTCTCATGTCACGGCACTGGGTTTCGACAACGCTTCAACGTTATGGCTTAATTATATCATTAAAAATGCATCATTTCAGCGTTTTTGCAAAATAATACCTGTGCTGTAAATTGTAACAATAGGATGATATACCCTGATCTCAAATCGAAGGCATGACCTACTGCACCGAATCAATATAGATTAGGATTTAGGAATAGTAGGATTTTTATGTGACGCAAACTCGAGAATACTAACTTAAAGTTTTTAGTATGTGGAATTTTTAAAATGTCAATGAAATTACTGCATTTTTCCATCATAAAAAACTTTCAACGGTGTACAATATTGTTATGTGCCCATTTGACTTGTAGACTAATGTCCAACCAGACAATTCATTTTACGTCCATCTTTAATAATAATATTCCTCCATAAATAAATCATTTTTCCAAGTTTCCGTTATCGTGCATTGACCCTGTATTATTCAATCACGCAATTAATGTTAGTTTTCGGTTTTCAAAGTCACGGCTGAGAACGTGTATGAGATGCAACGTAAATCGAGTATGCGTCACTTTCAGAACGCGGAAGAAATACGCGTTGTATCTCGTCATTTCCGTTAAGGTAATATTTTCAGTACGTCAAAGTTTCATTCCTATTATGCACGCAATGCGCTTGGGTTTAAAGTGCAAAAAGTAGTGATAAACAAATTTTCAATTTCCAAAATAGTTTTTTTTCTGGCTTTAAATATTACACACTCCAATAAACTTGGATACAATAAAAATCTAGTAATTTCAGCCTATCAGCAAATTTGTGACAATTGCAAAAATAGGTCAATTTAATCAGATTTGACGAGTATAAATTTTACACAAAGTCATCGGTAGATTCGGTATTTCTTGAATATGGTTCGGTTAAGCTTTGAAGGGGTTCGAACTGATTGGAGATCTTTCTAAATAAACGGTTTTATTTAGTTGATTGTTCGAAAAAAGGCCTCACCGGTGATGGCCAACCAGATGACGACTGAGAATATATATTCATTCCTACACATACCTTTCCACTTAATGCAGACCTGGGTTTGGGATTGAAGTTTTAAATTCCATCCTACTTGCTCTGGTTGCCGCAGTAAACAGAAATGCTAACATAAAGATTATTAATTATTGTTTGCTTGGTATTATTGATAACAACCAAATTTGTGACAAATAACTTCAGCTTTTCGTCATTATCAAATTTGCTGATTACGACAGATCTAATAAAATTTTACGTTTATTCCACCGAACGGAAACAATTTGGATTATTAATTTGCTCATATTTGTCTGAAGTGCTTCGTACTTTGGTAATCATGGGTCCAAAGATAAACTCTGCAAATTAACTTTCGCCCATGCTTAATGTAATCAACTATCCTAAGTTTGCACCTCAAGCCATTTCAGACACATTTTCTACAAACTATATTTTCAAGTATTTTCTTTGAGTAGTAAAACAATTTTATGTGGAAATAGAATTTGTTTTTAAAAATTGTCATTAGTCTGTTTTTGCATTTGCTGTATGTATGACATCATTTCAATTGGGCGGTTTTCTGTTATTTAAGCATTTTCTTTATTTTTGCTGAGTGTAATAATTTTGCAAAGCATGCCAGTTAGGCTGTTTTCCATATAATTGTGTTGTAAGTTTCCAAAGTCTCTCTTCCTATTACAGGTTTCGCCTGTTCATCAACGTTTACTGAATTAACAACGTATTTCATAGCATGGTCCTTGCTAAATTCAAGATGGCAATGCTAAAATATATGGAAGCGAAAGTTAAATTACTATTGCAATGTTAGCAAATATTCTGTCAAATGTTCAAAATAACTTTACCTGATTCTATATAGATTTTTGTTCCAAATTTCTTATGACATTCTGCGCGTGAATTATATACAAACGAGCTGAGTTATCGGGCCCAGTATGACACACTTAGAATTTAAAAAAAATTAAAAAAAAAAGTACTAATAAAAAAGTAACCTCTTCTGTGTAGTAGTGAAAATTTGACATGTTGGTCTACTAGTTGCAATAAAAAAAGTTTTTTTAACACAAACAACCACCCTAACAAAAACAACATTAATGTTCTATTTCATGTCAAATGAAAAAGTGATAATGACTGCTGTGCCGTTTGGCTAATGTATAAACGAAGTATCAGAAATAAAAATAATAATAATATATGTAATTCATCAATATGTCTCAATATATGTTTTTACATACATCTATAACCGGAATTAACTAACTCAACAAATCTCATTCAGAAGTAAAATCGGTGGTTAGATTAGATTTTAGAGTTGGGTATCCTGTATATATACATATGGTAGACAGAGAGTGAAACATACATATTTAGCAGTCATACAATTTTACAAATATGTAAATACCATACTTTTAGCATCTCTATTTCAAACGATATTTTTTTTCTAAGAGTAAAATATCCCACAGACCCACCGACCCCTACGATTTGTGTATTTTTTACCATATCATTCTTCCCGTCGTCTTAGTATTGATTTTTTTTTTAAGATGAATGGAGTTTATAAAAGTGATTATCGGGTTCTCAAGATGAAACTGTCAAATTATTGATTTCGCTCTTGTGAACGTAAATCAATTTGAGCAAAAATAACGAAGAAAAATTGTCCGAATTTACCCAACGAAGTTCTTTATAATGCGTGACCGTGTGGGCGATCTAAATACATAATGAACTATTGTTCTTTCCAGACAAGAATAAAAGCATAATGTCAGGTAGACGGAACATTTAATCTAGAAAACGTTTGGTAATTTAAATTGATTAAAAGGCAAGTTTTTACTGCCAGGCAGGCTGTCAAAAACCAAAGATTATATTTTCCATTATCACCATCACCATTCACGTGAGTATAACTAGCATGAGTGAAATACCCGTGTAAGTCTGAGTTAGACTTGGCATTTAAAGATGCTAAAGTAAGAATTGAGAACAACACTCAGTAACTATATATTTTCTTCACACCATTTCTAAGCCCACTTAACACCTAAACAGAGCAGTTATTTATTCAATGGAATGAAAAAATCGGGCAAATATTCAATGACACAAGAATCCATTTGTGCGTAGATAAATACCTGATTTTGTCAAAGTTTTTTTGCGGGCGAAATCTAGGTGTTTTACCACATTTCGTTTGGCTCAGCATTCTCGCATTTGCGTACAAACTGCATCGATATCGCCCACATTACAGGAGGACAAGGACATGCAAAAACCACTTACTGTACTATACTACTCGATATGTCCTTACTTTAGAGTTTGAACTAAGTTCAATAAATTAAAACTCTCCATTAACTTATTATCTAATTAAATAATCAATTTCTGGGTAATTTATTTGGCCGTTTTATTCAGCGAAAATTCGTCGGTCGTGACATCAGTTTGAGTTTATTAAATTGCCGTTTTAGCGTTTGTCGATAATAGTCTTGGTGAAAATGCAATAAAGCAAATCTGTATGGAACGTTTCAGGATTGTTTTTTAGCTGAATATAGGGTTGAGAAATTATATGTTAATGTTTCTAATTTCTAAAATTCAACATGAATTCCAATAGGATTTCGCGTTTTTAAATAGAATAAAAATAATACTCATGACTCATGATACTCATACTCAATTTTAAAATGAAACAACCATTCCACAAAGTATGACTAGCACGGAATGAGCCAAAGATTTTTTAATTAAAATTTGAATATAATTCAAAATTTAGCTGCATTTGCAAATGTAAAACATTATCCAATGAATGTATAATTATTCTTACTTTCAAGAAGTTCTTGAGACAATATGCTGTCGTTGGTTGGGCGAAGTCTGATGTAATTTTGGTTGTTATCTATTGATTGATGATACCACGTTCCATCGTCATTCTGATCATTGGTTTGTTGATGCTTTTGTATGAACAAACTGTTCATGGCGTCAGACAGGAAGATGATGCCAGCTAGAATGTCTGTCGCGGCCAAACTGATGACAAACACATAGATACGTTGCCGAAGTCGCCTGTTATATAAAAATAAAGTAAATATAACTTGCAAAAGAAGAAAATAAGATTTCTCGATTTCCATCTACGGACCATATCCAACTGTATATTATTACATAAATATTGCAGATAGCCAATTACTGGTGGTTGTGCCTAACAAAAAATTCGTGCGATATTTTACACTTTAAAGATTAAAGAAGAAAACCGCGTGAATATTACAATTCAAATATGCGAAACGTTGTTTTACATTATGTTAACTTCCGGTAAACACACAGTCAATTGCGATTACACTTGACAGTTAACCGGGCATAATTCCAAATATAATCGACTTCTCTGCCGGCATGTGTTGTTAATGAATTCTCGTGGGGATGGAATCAGATCATGGTATTTCCTCGTGAGTAAACCGTCTATTCGAGGTTATCCACTATTTTGTGATTTAAGTGTGTTACCTCAGTCGAAATCCCCAGGTGCGATTCAAAATTCGATCATGACTGATTAAAATATAGCACTTGCAAATTGCCAAAATGAGAGACATTTTACCGCGACTAATATACACAATAAACGTACCAAGTAAGAGAATAAATGTTCAGAACACACAAATTTGCACGAGTTTAGATTTTAAAATAGGTCACAAATTTAGAAAATTGTATTTTTACAACGTACATGTGAACTTTTTGAAACTATATATATTTAAAAATTTCGCAGAAGTATAAATCTCATTTCCAGATTTTTGAATATTTATCGCCATTTGCGACTATTAAAATTTTATAGTGTCGATCTGTTGAATTTATTTTGGGAAATAATCAGCTTGGAATAGGTCCCTCGTTTTCTGAACAATCGTTTTTTTTTACGGTTTTGTCTAAAATACCGTGCCCGTCACCGTATAAGTATTGAGTAACTATGGTGCTTATATGTCATAGCTTGTAATGACGTTGACGTTATGCATATTGCTGTTTATTTAATATAAACAGCAAAACGTTGGAATGAACAATTCATTGATAGATTATAATTACAATACCTCTTAAACGTCAATCGTTGAAGCGCTTATCTATTTTATCCTACCCTGTATACAATCTCAGTTCATCTTAAATGCAAACGATACAATTCCCAACTACATTGCATTTACCTATAATTCTTCAACACGCTGATCATTGCAAGAGAATTGAAGATGATTACAAGAGCGGAGAGTAAACCGATGACAATATTTGCAGTTTGCGGGATATTGAAACTCCGGACCCCGTAACATGTTCTGGATGAGTCGCTCGGCACATTCATCATCACATATGAAACAATCCAATAGCAAATTTATAAATACATATAGATTAAATTATAGTATTCGACTGAAAAATGCATAAAGAGATAAAAAACATATTAACTACAGTCTTTTTAATTAAAATCATTTTAGCAGGCATCACTGGAACACAATTAGTGACGAGCATGCCGAATAGAATGCAATCTTTAATCAGCAACCAAAGACACTTTTTTAACCACACTCTTGTGTTAGTCTGAAGTCAAGTCCAAAGTGCATTCGTCCATGTGAATACTTTACCGTTGCAATTCTCTCGTGACCTGAGAATGGTTTCAGTTTCCTGGTATGGTATATTTTATAAAGTCGCGTTTTGGTAATTCGGTTTCGGCACGCTTTTAAATATCTTGAGGCGTTCAGAAGTTCGGTGCCAACCCGTTGGCATATGTAAAGAGATATCACGATGTTCGCCAAGATACAAAAATTTCACTGAAACTCCGATAATACGAGAAATATATAAGTCATATATTTTATCGTTTGCAAAACATTTATTATCAAAAACCTCGAAAATATTTCAGTCGCATAAAATTTTGTGGAGAGTATGGCTTTTCACGTTTGCCGTATACAGAACTTCCAGTATTAAGCATCGTTAAAAGTTTTTCACGTTTCTGATGTTCAAACTAACTTATTCAATTTTATTAACTGCACCTAATACATGAACCATATGTTTATATCATAGGTTATAATTATTTTTTATATAATTATTTTAGCAGATATTCTACGATTGAGTTTCAGTGGATTTTATTTTTTCGTATTGTATCTAATTACTACTGTACATATTCTTTCGTATGGCTGAACTAATGGATTGGTTATAATCTATTTACGTACCGGTATTTTCATGCCACTCTGCGAAGGAAAGTATAGTTTGCCGTAGATCTTAAATCGATTAAATGATTCGTCCCGGTGTGCATAAGTACAAAAACAAAAGCATTCATCAACATTCACCTTCACCACACGACATACTTTCTTGGGGACCAGGCGGATAAATAGACAAGTTACACACAAGTAATCTAACTGAATCAATGTTGCCTTCTGAACAAAATAGTAGATTATATCGATGGATACCGTCGTAATGACTTAGCTTAAATTTACAATCCATTCACTGATACTCGTTTGCCAAACGAATCACAACTAAAATAACTTTTGAAAATAATCTAATTCATTTATGCAAATGTACTTGGCTTCACTTAAACTCTGTATGGGTATCGTTGATGAAATGCAACATGGCAAGAAAATGTTTGGCAAAAGACCTCCTCGTCCTCGGTTCAGATTGCATCGTTTTCTGTTGGTACAAGATTTTTAGGCCAGGTTCATACTGGAGTTAACGACTTAACGATATCACATTAAATTCTGTTGTATTTCCATCCATAAACGGCATTTCGTGTTTTATTTATACGCAAGCTCCAAATTAAAGATTTATGTTCGCACGAGACAGATGAGGATCGTTAAAATCGAATCTTAGTAGTATATTTAGTAACAGATTAAATAATCATATTACTAGACTAGGAAGAATTATTTTCCGATGCTTTGTCAAGTAAAAACGAATCAATAATTAGTTGTTTGTACATAAATCAACATTATGCAGATGACCTATACGAAAAAATTAAACATACAATTACAGCCGGAATCTCACCATTGATAAAAATTAATTGATCTTACATATAAGAGAAGAAGAGATCAGGATGTTGAGCCGACCTAATACTAACAGTTTGAATCTTCATTTAGAGACGAGCATCAACATAAATCAAAACGCGGACTAGTTATTCTCGCACAAATCCTACTTGTTTTCCGGAATGACACTGACTGTCCATTTGGGCAATCAGAAACCCTCGACTTCTTTCATATGAACATATGAGAAATATAGTATGATCTGGGTAGTAAAATGCATCGATAATTTTGTTATTAACGAAAAAAAAATTTGATTCAACTTTTAATAGCACATGTGAGTGACATCGGTGCATCTATACATTTTTTTAATGACCTAAACATGACAATTTTGCTAAAGCTTACAACTGGTTTCTATTGATGATATTTACAATGTTACGACTGTGAAACTCTTAGACAGGTTTTCATTTAAAATCCAGACAGTGGTAGTATGACATCTTCCCACGACGGCAATAGATCATGAATTTACCAACTCTGACTAACAACCACGTCCAAATACGTCATCTTGATGAATACGTGAATCAAATTTAGACAGGAGAGAATTGCAATCTTCTGGTAATTTAATTCTGATTCGAATTTTTAGAATCATATACAAATTTTGTTGAATAACTTGTTAGCAGATTGTATCTCGTCTTATTGCTAAGCTCAAATAAAGTGACCGATCTTGTCGATTCAACCATAAATACAGTTCGTCTGCCTTTTACCTCCTGGCCTAACTGACGTATGAAATAATTCGATTTCTTTTGCGCATTGTACAAAACGCACAATGCAAGCCAAGGTCATATTTTATTCATGTATCGGCGATTTTTGTAATTAATACAAATCCCATAGGGCCCAGTGCAATACAAAACCACTTTCCATGCCAGCGTAGATGCTTGTTTACCAAATCAATGAATATTAGCAATCTAACTTGTTCTTATTCGATGATTAGTAAAAATAATCCCATCGATTTAGTCCACTGCAAGATCGACACACACATTATCAAATAAATCATTAGTATTGAACATTTATTATTTTGAAAAATGCCTGAATCCGTAACAACTTATCTTCTAGCTAGAATCTAGAAGCTCAATGCCAATCGTAAACTTTGTAAAGATCCAATAAAAAGATTAAATATGTAAATTTGTTATTTGAATCGACTCTCAATGTAACCCGCTAATGCCTAAAATGATCAATATTATCTTAGATTTGTGTTCATTAAGGGAAAATAACACTGCGGTAAGTGGAAATCCATGACAAAGTTTCCTCAAAACTGTCGTGGCTGCATAAACTGCATAAATGAAATCATTGGAAAAGGAGAATACTCTGGTTTTGCGGTTTCCGTCAATAAGATTTTCAGAGTGCGCACTCCACCGTCGTTATTTATATCCTGTTAGTTACTAATACTGCGTTAATTCTGTATTTGGGCGGTCCTATTGCAATTGATCTGAATCTCCATGGACGAATATATAGATGATATACAATATAAAGTATGGATGACGAAAATATGACTTTTACACCTCAGACGCTTCCCACTAACAAAAAATTGTCTCATTTTATAGGTTTAAATATATTAAGTATATAATATATAAACGAACTTCCTCAATTGAAAATTTCAGCAATTCAATTGAATCATTTTCCACAATTTTCTTCTTATGTATTCCAAATTAAAATTTCTATGTCATTTCTTATTTTCTACCGACAAAATATATTTTTTTAACGAAATAATTGAATAAATTATTTTACCTTTTTCAATTTGTTCCATACGCATTGATTAACTTTCATCCAATTAACTTTATTTAATTAACTAACTTGGCATAGCTTTATTTAGCATTTATCAGTTTCAGTATTTCTAACGATTTGAAATATGCAGCAAAGTTTCATATCGGCCATATCCACACATGTTCAGTAAGACTTTTTATCCAATTTTTTGGTGCGAAAGTCAAACGTGTTTATTCCTTAAAATTTCTGCGTGACAAATACCTTCGGCCACTTTGCAAAGATAATAATTTACAGTTTATTTTAACTATGAATATGCCACAAAGTGTTCAACAGTCAACACAAAACAATCGAACTTATTTTGGCAGTAATACGATGCCCGACCGCTGCGGGAGAGAGTTCCATTCTATCTTGTGTGGGTAATTCAAAATATTCCATTCATGAATAGAAGGATCTTATTCTAAACGTTCGGGTTCAAATTTCTGTCAGTTACTTACTCATTCGCCACCAACAATCACGTTTTCACAATTTTTTCAACGAATATCCTAAATTGTATTGCTGAAATTTTGTTTTGATCATAGCGACCAAATTTATTTAAAAAAAATCGTCTAGGGCAAATACATCTGTGATGGATTGAGTTGTCTTCTAAGGAGACAAAAGTTGTGGATTATTCACTATTGATTTTGCGCACATTGTTCGTTCCAAGTTTACGCTCAAATCCAAGGGCGCAACTCAAATGGTTTTGCAAAATAACATAGCACCACAAAAAATTTTCAAATTTTTGAGCCGAATTTACATTAATATTTATGTTATTGAACAGATATTTGCAATCTCACACAATTAGCTCTACACGGTTACTTGGCCATCGAAAAATTATCGCGACAATCAGGTGAATAATGCTCATGCAACTTGTACGCATAGGTGAATTCGAATCGTGTGCAAAACGTTTTCCTCATTTTTCATACACCATAATAATATCATACAATAATGAATGAAAATGGCAACAAACATTGAATCTAACAGCATTCAACTAATAAAATTTTCGGCGTTCTCGATTAAATTAATCGACAGATTGCCGACATTGTTGGAGGTAGTCAGTACGGACGTTTTTTGAGACGTCCGATATGCAGTCTCAATGGGACAGAGATTCGAAAATTTCATTTTCAAAGCATACCCTAGGATGGGATATCATGGAAAAGAATGAAGTTCTATACAAATACTCCAAACTTTTCCTCATTTCCGACTTCAATTTTCGTATTTTTTAATGTTGTGGAAGATTTTACAGAAAATCGAAACAAACTGAACTTGATTTTCAAACTTATGGTAAATTACAAAGTATCAGCAAGCCAAATGTCGCTCACCCTTGTTTTAACTCATTGGATGACATTGTGTCCCACAGATCGATACAATATACAATTCAACGATAATATTCATGTGGGAATTTCGGAGATTAAAAATCGTATTTTAGGTGTTTTAATAAAGACTAACGTTGTTGCTTCTTACTCAATAATCATTTTACTGCAGTCATATTGAGTAATGTAAAATAAATCGATGACTCTCAAATTAAACGCTCACTGCACAATATGTCAACGAGTGCAATTCAGAAAATTATACGGGAAACGATAGATGACACAGAACAAGACTCGAGTTAATACAAACCTTTCATTTAT